CGTTTATGTACTTTAAACATCCAGCTCCTCTGACAGCATCCCTTTGTTTTCATGTTCGTCAAGGAACTTTTATCTTGAACTTACCTTTTTGTGTGTCTTCATAGAGTGTAAGAATGTTCTGGAATTTTTAGCATGATAATCAATGTATTTTTAATAATAAATAAATTTACCTTATATTTATATATACTTTGTATATGTAATTACACATAATTTTTATATATTTAAATATATAAAGTGAATACCATGACCACACCTTCCTGCCCTCTTGCAATATCCTGCTTGCCATTGTCCGGCCCACATAGAAACCAGTAAGTTATTCTGATTTGAACTCATGTCAAAAAGAAACCAAAAAACAAAAAAAAAGCATTCAACTCCCCAAAAATCTAGGCATTTATTTCTAAACTTGCTACGTCTTAGCTATCTCATGCATAAAAGTAAGATAGCATCTTTCCCTTATCATAAAGCATTTTGTGTCTAGCATGTGGTAAGAGCTCAATAAAGTACTGCTACTCTTGTGATTTTTACCTTGTATTTTCCACGTCACTTTTCTCTTTCCCTTTTATATTCCCCCGCCTCTTGAAGGTATACATCCCCTACCTGCCTCCTCAGCTTCACACTTCCCATCCTACTTAAGATCTCCAGAGGTTATCGCACAGGGGCCTCAACCCCAGCCTGTTCCAGACTGGAACAGTTCCTTTCATTCAAAGCTGCCTCCCCCACCGTCCACTGCCTCGGTTTGAATTTCTGCTCCCCTAGTCGTGTGACCCTGCACAAGTTATCTTACCTTTCATTCTGTACCTCGGTGGACACATCTGTAAAATGACAGTAGCTGCCTCACAGGGGTGTAGTGAGGATTAAATAAATTAACACACTTCTGAGAATGCCTGGCGCACAGTAACGTTCGTTAATATTAGCAGCTGGAGTCATCCTTTTCCTCTTCTTCATCACCGTCACCCTTAATAAGCCAGCTTCACACCCTTTACTCCCTGACGAATGACACTACCGTGCCCAAAGCCCTAAGTTGGAGACCTCCTCTTCTTCCCTTCTGCCTCCTCCCCGACATCAGCTTAGTGATCCAGTCTTGTGCATCCTCTCCCTGGAACAGCCCTCCCGACTCCTCCCCCCGCCCCTCTGGGTTCTCTTCATCTTTCTCCTGCAGTGGTCTCTGAAGGCATCTTACCACCTCCGGTATGTCACCTCCCAGCCAATCTGCCCCCTACATCACAGCCATAGATCTCATTCTGAAATCCAAATGTCATTGTAACAAATGCATTGTGTTTACCGCACGCCAAATACTACTCGGAGCGTTTTATAATGTTAACGCATTTGTTACCTGTATCCAGTTTTCCCTTCATTCATATATTATTTATTTATTTAATACCTCTTATATTTGTTCAGGTGTCCAGGATCCTGCCAGGAAACAGATGGCATGCCCAGAGGTGGTGATTTGAGGACAGGTTCACCAAGGGACCACTTACACTGATGTGAGCAGCTTGCAGGGAAAGCACACGGCTGGTGATAGCGGGGCTCCACCACCATTCCTAGGCTTGATGGGGTGAAGGGAAGGCATAGCGTGCTCACCAGACCTGGAAGGAGAAGGTTGCATGGAGGGGAAGTGCCGAAAAAAGCTAACCCAAGGCAGACAACGGTGCGGGGAGCAGCCAACCCTTTCTCCCATACCCTGCATCTCATTACCCAGCCTACAAGGACGCCAAAAGGTAAGAAAACCTATTGATGCGGTGTCTACAGTTCAGCCTCCTGGGGGCATGGAACAGGGTGAAAACATGGAAACGGGGGATCTGGAGGGGCAGACCTCTTACTTAGCCACATATGTGAGCCGGCACCCACTGCTCTAGGGGAGGAATGTCACGGGACCTTTCCTGGCACGACAAATGTTACCTCCTCACAAAACCCTTGATACCCAGTGCTCCAGCAAGAGCAAACAGGACGGATGGAATCCCCGTGTTCCTGAAGCTTTCACAGAGTAGTCCTTAAATGAGGTCTATAAAATTCATAGGTTCCAGCCTATTCTTCTGCCATGTTTTCATGTTTATACCACTTGCCAGCCATAGTCAGGGAATAGGAACTCACACTCACTCTTCTTTGCTTCAGCCCCTTGACTAGAACGAGTTCATGCTCAATCTCACTGCAAAGAAGGTTGGAAAATATAGAAGAGCAAATGAAATATTGTAGTTAGTCCCACTGACTGTTTCTTAGTATTTTTTGCTTACTTCCTAGTTCTTAGCTTTGTTCTATTTAACAAAACCCTAATATCAAGTTGGCCAGTCAATGGCAGTTCCCTTGAGATTTTTTTAAGAATGAAAGTGACACACAGACAAATTTTATCATTAGCTAACACTCATAAGCTAGCAGCCCACCACTGCCGGAAAGAGCTGGAGAAACAGGCCGTGCATTTTTGTTAAGGAAATTCATGCTAGTAATTTTATAACTCGGTTGTGACAGCGGAAGTAAAGAAGGCTGAATTTTCTTCACGCTGTCATGTGCCAGTTATGAATTTATTGCCTCTGTGCTCCAAACTCCAGCCTCAGTACAGGCTCTGTGATAACAGGCCGCCTTCCTCTGGGCACGTCTTCATCACGTGAGACGATGCCAGGCCCTGTCGGTAGAGGGCACTGGAGGGCCTTTGCTGGAGGGAGGGAGGACTTGGCTGCTCCGGCAGCTGCGTGGTTGTGGTGGGTAAGCAGTGAGTCGGGGAGGACATCGGGTGGCTTCTGCTCCAGCCACGGGCCCAGAGTGCACATTGCCTTGGCCACTTCCAGCCCTGACTGGCCTTGGGGGCCACCTTCCCACAGCTGTCCCGACGGATAAACCTCACACTCCAGGCCTCCAGCTTTCAGCGGTGCCCTGACTTTTCTGCAGGCCCACCTGCCTGGAGACTGTCTCCTGGGGTCCTTTCCATGTGAGCGTGGGGTGTGACTGACCACCTGCATACAGTGCAGGTTTTGCACATCCTAGGCGGGGCTGAGTAGTTGTAGCAGAGGTTCCCAAAGCCCCAAATAATTACCATCCGGCCCTTCGGAGAAAATGTGCTGATCTCTGTTCTAGCCTATTAGTGGAAGCAAACAAGAGTAAAAAATAGTAAAAGAAATACAAAGCATCTTATTAAATAACTTCTGTTGCTCTATTTGTTTTTCCTCCATAAAAGTGGTATTTCCATGTTATTCTCTACTTTTTTATTGTTAACTCTCAAGGTTTTTCAATGAACATGTATTTTATGAATAAACTCAGTACAAATGTGGATTCAAAAATACCTCCTGCTGTGATTTGGGTCACTCTGGGCTGTGAATGGTCTTGGGAGCAGATGCTGTATTTGTCCTTTGCCTGCGTTTTAATTCCCTCCTCACACAAGAAAGCCAATGGGCATTATTTGAAGGTATGGGTTTGTTTTACAGTAAGTGCCTAAATATGGCAACCTTTATCAACTCCTGGAAAGAAGTGAGACTTTCTGGAAAATCATACGGTCTTTTCGTTTGCGGGTAGTGTTATTTTAAAAAACCAGGCAAGATTTCAGAACTAAGCTAATGCTTGTTTTCCCCCCTCTCCCTGCCTGAACTTTGGCTGTCACCTTTCTTCTTCCTCTACCTCACGCCCCAGTTTATTGGGGTCAAGGTTGCTGGGTGCCGTGATAAGGAATAATGTAGTGAATTGTGTTCTTCTTTGGACTGTAATTTTTCTTGCGATTCAACAGATAAAACTATTGCATTCTAATTTTCCTCACAAGATATTGTTATAAAAAGTCCTCAAAATCTTTTTTTTTGGTATCTCATAGCATTTTTTAAAGTACTAATTCTCCTGCATCTCAGTTATTTACCTCTTGCACATGTGGTGTAATTAATATGGATACATCATGGTAAATTACAGTAGAAAGCATATTTAGGCTTCAGATGGCTAACAAGGGGAAACACTTTGAATAGATTAACAGATCAAGGAAAAACATGTATTTGCGGATCCATGGTCTTTGCAAACTTGTTTTTTTAAAAGAAATTCTCTATTTGGTTGTAGCACCCTAAAGGCAATCAATTGATATTTAGTATTTTTAAACTTTCAGAGAAAACATTTCCTTTTTTTAAAAAAAATCTTTTAAGAAAGCTAACATACAAAAATTAAAAAGATATGATGGGTATGTCTTCACAAGCACGTGGCGGAGCCCTCAGATGATTTTCCCAAATTGTTTGCTAGAGCAGGTTAAAAAAAGGAAATTCTTAAAAAAAAAATAGCATTGGTAAATGCTGTATTCAAGGTATGAGATGGAAGCATTATAGACACTGATGTTTATCTCCTGAAATTTCCATAAGGGCCATGAGGGTAGAGACCTCATCTCATTTTCTCACCACTGCTTTCCCAGCACCTAGCTCACAGTAGGTGGTTAACAACAATCTGTGGAATAGTTTGTATGCTCTCAGGCCTCCCCAAACCCTCAGGTACCTCTTTCCATCAATTATCCTCATTCTCCAACCTCTCTCTCTCTACTGGCTACTGACCCTCAGCAAAACGATCATGCAGATTATGGAAAACCTCTGCTCGCCCAGTCCTGGCCACTTGCCCTGTCCTGCCTGACTTTCCTTCACAGCCAAATACAAGGCCTTTGTAGAGACAGAAGCGCTGAAGTAGGTAGAGTTATTTTGGTCTCACGGAAGTCCCAGCTCCCACCTTTGCCAGAAGTCCTTATTTTCAGGAGGGATGTAAAGAAAACCTTCCCCACTGCTCTACATTGTGTCAAGTTACCACAGCTCTGCTCAGGGACAGCCTTGAGCTCCTGCGGTAAGTCCTGCAATAAGGCTTGTCTTCCAAACCAATTCTGGCCGAGGAACATTCCCAGGTCTAAGTTTACTTCTCCAAGTAAACTTGCTCCAGTCTGAGTTTGGGACAAAACAGAAGTGTGCAGTTTGGGGTGGGGACTGTGGCATTGGCTGTGGTCCGAAGAAACACTTGCATGCAGCAAAAAATAGTTTAAGAAATATTAAAAAATGTCTCCCAGCTACATATAAGGAGATATTTTAATAAAGAGCACAAACTAGAACATACCAAATGAGAATTGAAACTAAACAGAAACTTAGATGTCACCTAGGATTTTATGCTGATTCCAAGCCACATGGTGATCTGTAATTCACATTTTATAGTACTTTAAAGGAAACTCAAAATGTTAAGAAACAATGTGTAATAAAGTGACACTTTGATAAAGAAACGGTCATTATTTATCCATACACCTGATTGAAGATTTACATCAAGCTCACGTTTTGTAGCAGTGATTTAACCAGAGCAAACATTTTCATAAAACCATGATATAAATAACAAATGCCTGTGCTTTTCATAATAAAAGCTCATACAAATGACAAATTCAAAAAAGAAAAAGTAGCCTTTTCTGGCCAATAGTTACAAATGACTTAAAAGAAGCTTTAGCCATTCAATTGATATCAGTTCACAGAGCTCTGTACAAGTAAGTAACTTTCGAGAGTAAGATTCACCATCTTCTTAGCAATAGAGAAAACATCTCAATTTCTCCAAAGCCAATATAATAATCCTAAGGGAAAATAACTATTTCTCTTCTTTACCCTTTAAAATTTAAAACTTAGTTTTAACCACTTTTTCAATAAAATTTTCATTCCATATCAGAAATGGTATAATCCTTTAAAAACCCAAGTTTTAAACACTTGCTTCTTCTCTGCCCATAATACAGATATGTTTATACATTATCAGTAACACAGAGGATATCTTGGTGTAGAACGTTTATTTATTTACTTTTTCCATGAAACACTCCGAGTTTAGGTCAGTGGGAAACAATTTTATCAAAGAATTGTACATTTCCTTCCCACATATCTTGCTTTGCATTAGGCAATGACATTGTGATCCATTTCACTACAATATTATAAAATATTTACAGAAAAATATTAAAAATAACTCAAACACGAAAGGCAAGATGGGATGAAATAAGCTGTTTTTTCAGAAATCTCTACTCCAGTGCCGACAGCACACAAGAAGAGAATCAAACAAATGAGTAAGGAAGCTCCCCCGGATCACAAGTTTCCAAAGAAATAGAGAAGAGGAAGAAACGGGATGAAATGGTGGTGTGACAGGGAACGGATGTTAGCAGCACTGCTTCAACAGCCAATCTATCTGAAGGAAATACCCTCTTTTATATGCAGTAAATGCTGAACAAGGCTGAACTTTAGGACAGTTCCTTGAACTGAAATTAAAAACACCCTGACACTGAAAGCAGCTCCTTCACCTAAGTTTAATAAGAGCTTCTTTCTCCATGAGCCACTGATGGGAACAGAAGCCTGTCCTGCCATCAAAAGCTGTCACAGTAGCCCCTCCATCTCTTTCATGAAAGCTTCATAAACGTCATCCTTAGTTTGTACGGAGACGGGAACAGATGGCCCAGACTTGGGGGCCGCTTTGGCAAGAGGCGCAGCAGAATCATCCTCTGACTTTCTCTGGGGAGTAGCAGTAGCCCCTTTATTCTCCCGACGGACCCTCAGTGCAGTGGGCACGAACCGAGTAATCTCTGCCTTGGGGTTAGTGATCTGCGGCTTGGCGCTGATGGTCGCCGTGGCTTTCTTCTCAATGGTGGCTGCGCTGGTATCATCCGCCTTGGGTCGCTGAATCAAGTTGGGCGGAGCACTTAAAACCCCGGGGTTCGGCAAGGGAGCTGGTGGGAAAAGCCCAGGTGGGGCAGGTCCAAGTGGAGGCACCAAAGGTGGGCGCATCATGCCAGGACGAGGTGGAGGGATACCTAAATGCAGGCGGAAAACGGACAGATGAATACCACAAGAGTAAAATTTAACTACTATTAAGGATGTTAAAAAAAACACAAGTTGACAATTCTAAAAAAAATGGACAATTTATACAAAGTAAGCTGAAACCATGCTGCTTGCTATTTGAAACTTGGGAACCTTTTTAATACAAAACATTACTCACCTTCAGTCTGTATCCCTGTACTTATGTTTTTTTCCTCTCTAATATACTACTTTAAACTACAAAGGAAAATTAACAATACCAACTGGTTTCAAATATAGTGTCAAAATTGTCAAATCTGAAACTTGACAGCCCAGGAGTCTGTTCTAACTGTGCAGTGCAGATGCTATTAAAACCAAGGCTGGGGATTTGATTCCCTTGTATTGTTCACTGATTTGCAATAATCCTCCCTCTCAAAGGTTAACTCAATGGACAGGAAATATAATTTTAACTCCTGGAATGAAAGAATCTGACTAATCACAGTATGTCACCATTACTGAAAAAAATTCATGTTTCATTGTTGGCTCAGACATACCATCATCATTTACCAAGAAGTGTGTATTTAATTTTCTCCAAATGCTCTTCGAAGACTGAATACAAAGGATCAAATTTCATCAAACGTAAGATGCTATTCCTATACAGACTCGTAATTATTCCATATACCACTCCAAGTCCAAGCTGAGGAGCTTAAAAGGAGACCTTCACATTATACTAAGACAGTGCAATAAACCAGAAATACACCTGCCACATAAAAGACCACAGGGAAATTTGCATATCTAACCATGATACAGCGTAGAGAGAATGGAAAAAAAACTCCCCTATGACTGTAAACTTTAAGTTGGTATTCATGCAGATGAATGGAATGACTTCACAATTCTAAGTGTAATCCCTAAAAAAAATCTTAAATGAAGAATAATCCAAAGTATTTTCTGGCTGGGCAAAGTCCCTCATGTGACAGGCAGTATCAAGTGCAAATACTGTCTGGAAGAACTCAACTTCAATCCAGGCCAAAATCAATTAAAAAACACCGTTTTAAGATACCCTTTGATTTCAGGATATTAAAACGTGAAAGTATCTTAGAGCAAATGAAATATACAGTAGACAAGTTTTTGTAATAGAAAGCAAAGCTTCACCTGGAGGTGCAGGGGGAGGTAGCCTTGGAGGGGGTCCCCGAGGAGGAGGGCCAGGAGGCAGACCTGGAGGTGGACCTGGGGGAGGGCCAGGGGGTCGGCCTGGTGGTGGTCCTGGAGGTAAAAGTCTGGGTAAAGGCCCTCGGAGGCCTGGCATTCCAGGTGGTCTCAGGAATGGAGGAGCTCCTAAAAATAGAAAAGGGATTAATTAATGGCAAACAAATATAACTGAAGTAGTAATTGTGGTAAAAGGTAACTCAGATGTGGTTTGATGTATCACTTTAACCTGAAATCAGAGAACTTCAAAAACTGATTAAAACATATTTAGAAACGAAATTCATTCAATATCTGAGCACTAGAGACAGGGTACTGAATTTGTTATGGACCACTTCTTTTACTTCCCAGCACTGACAAGAAGCATACTCAATCACAGCTCTGCTGGACTGGAAATACATGGAGATGAGATTTCTTAAATGGTTCTAATATATTCAGCTGAAAATGGAACATAAAACAGGATGCTTAAAGGACTTCCTCAAACTCATTAAGACATACAGACAAGGACCACTGAGAATGACATAAGATGGGTAATTTTGCTTTGCACCAATCAGAAGACGAACTCAACTCAAGAAGACTTAACTGGCTGACTGTAGGATGGAGTAAAATCATCAGTCAAGAAGTTTTATATGCTGTTATAAACTGCAAATAAATTTTTATACTTTTAAGTTGAAGACTTGTTTAATACTGATGACTCCTGTCTCTTAACTGTAAAGATTACATCGACATCCAACAACTCCCACCCAAAGGATATGCAATGGTATTTATCGTGCCCTAGGCCCACTCCCTACCAACTCAGAACTGAGTCAGCTACTCACATTAAAAACGAAATCCTAAAGAAACCCTAAATTACATACGCCAGTTTCTGCCTACTAAAATCAGAACTAACAAACTAAAACAGGCAGAGTTTTGGAGGAAAGGATGACCGTCAGAAATACTACGACTTGCAAACAATGTTGTAGGAATGAACAAGCTGTGCCTGTGCTTTGAGAATCCGCTATTTCTTAGGGAACTGCACCAGGAAGAAAGAAGAAATCGTCAATACTAACGATGCATGCTTTTTGGAATAACTTCACTTTAACCACATTTAGGCTTGTTTCTTCACAACAGTTAAGTGCTTACCTGGAGGTGGTCCAGGAGGAAGGCCTGTAGGTGGTCCAGGTGGCCGTAAAGGTGGAGCAGGTGGTGGTCCAAGAGGAGGTGGCCCTGGCATGGGAGGAGCTTGCATCTGAGAAGGAGGAACAGACTGTGGAGGAGCCTGCTGCTGGGAAGCAGCAGCAGCTGTGCCATCAGAAAGAGATTCCTCTTTATGCTGCTTTTGTGATTGCTTTTCTGCTTCAGAGTCATCAGAATCATCTTCATCATCGTCCTCTGAAAATTCCTCTACTTCACGTCCCTCCTCAGGGATTTCCTGACCTGAAAGGAGTTTTAAACCAGTTTCAAACCAGATGGAGTTGATTCATTTTTCTTACAGCCTGTAAAAACAGCAGTGCCTGAAACACATGCTTAATAAATGCTTTCTTAAAATAACAACCAGTCTTCTTCGATAAAGTACTCAGATAAGTAAGAATAAGACAGAATTCTACTCGTCTACGCTGGTATAGCCCTGGCTTTACAACGGGACAGACCTGGATTTAAACGCCGGTCCAATCGTGTATTAGCTGTGCAACTTTGGGCAGCTTACCTCAATGCCTCTGAACCTTGACTTTTGAAAAACAAGGACTTATTACTTCAAGGTTGCTGAGATATTAAATAGGAAAATGTAAGTAAAGCAACTGGCAGAAAGGAATACCAAACAGTGATTCACTCCTCTTTCCTGCCTTACCTGCCATTCGAAGCATCATGGCTTGAAGAGGAGTCAGCTCCTTCATGTTCTTCTTCTTCTTCTTTCTTGATTTTCCAGGCATATCTGCAAATCGTACACTCAGACCTAAAGGGCCAGAGAAGGGAGAGTGGAGTGGATTGGGATGAACACAATTCATATGTGCTTGCTGTAAAACAAATGCTAGAAAGTACTTGATATAATTGTTGTCCACTAGCTGGCAGGAGATAAGAGCAGAGAGACAGAGCTGTGCTAAAGTCAGTAAATCAAATGCCAACTGGGGGTAAATATATGCTACAGTGATTTAAAAGTTGCAAATTTTTAAAATGTAAAGAATACTAATAACATCTTTATGTCAATAAAATTGAAAACCCAGGTAAAAATAATAGACAATTTTCTAGAAAAATACAAATTACTTACAATTGGCCAAAGAAGCAGTAAGACTACACATAAAAAACCTGAAATGGTAGTCAAAGATTGATTCTCTAAATGGCACCTCACCCAAATATCTGTACAAGGTAATTCAGCCAAAGTTACAGAAATTTTCTCTAAAAGAGCATAGGAAAAGATGGAATGCTATCCAGAATTCGAAGCTAGCATAACCCTAACACCAAGATTAACCTGCTGGCCAACATAAAATATAAGCAAATTGAATCCAGCAGTGTTTTAAAAGAAAATTTTATCATAAGCACATATGGTTGGTACCAGAAATGCAAAATGGTTTAACATTAGTGAAGCCATGAATTAATTCATTACAACCAACAACTTAAAATGGTGCGATAACAGCTTTCTTATTCTTAGATGGTAAGCATTTACAGGAGGACAGAAGTTCCATGTGGAAAGGGCTTTGGTTTTGTTTACTCTGCATCCCTAGAGTTTAAAAAATGCCTTGCACATGGTAAAACCTCAGTATTAGCTGAAGGTCAAATCAGGTAGGATAACCATTTCCAGCACATGTGCATCGATCAATATATTTAAGAAAAACCAGTTGTCCAAACAAGATGAAAAAGAGGCAAATGATCAGAGTCTAGAGAAAAACGGAACTGCTCTGGCTCCAGTGGTTTCCAGTTTCTAGCACCAGCTCCTACACGAGAGTCCTCAGTAATGTTTCATCACCAGCTCTCTCTATCCACCCCTGCAAACCAGTTTTTTGGTTTGCAAGGATGATTCTTAAGAAATATGCAGAGAAAAAACTGTCATCATTATCAATACTAATATTAGAAGTATGACTAATACACAAACATTGTGTGGCAGGCTGCAAAAACAATTACAAAAGCAGCTCCAAGACTACTGAGGTATGACGGATTATACATCTTGTAAATTTTCTCGATGAATGCCATAGCTATTTTTTAGAAGTGCATGTAACTCAGTATGAATTTATAATAATCAAACAGGTGACATACACTATCAGTATGATGTTTCCATTAAATCATGATTCCACTCATAGGTGCACCTATGTTTTAATTATGGTTTTGATTCATATCTGATACCATGGTAACAGATACCATGAACACAGAAAATTTCAAGGACTTTAATTTAAATGTAGATACGAAGGCAGACTCATTAAAAAATGTAACTATGGTTTTCTTAACATGAGTATATGATTATTCTTCATTCTTTCCCATACATACCCACGGCAGTACCTCTTCATGCTGCTAAATAGCTATCATCTTTTCCCCAAAAGTGGACTTAACTACATAGACTTTTTTTTAATTACATTCACTGTTAGTTTCCCACCGCCTCCTCACGAATATCAATTGAGTACTCACTACGTGTCAGTAACTTTGAAATTTTGAAGATATAAAGATGAATAAAGCACTGACCCCTCCTTTCAAGGAGCTCACAATTACTGTCAGAGGTCATTAACAAGTCAGGATCTTTAGCTTGTGTGTTTTTTATTGATCAGTACCAGGAAGCTCTCATCTGCACGTACCTGTCTTTTTTTCTTCGTTGTTTTCTCTCTCATTATCATCTCGGTGCACAAACTCGTCCCCTTCACTTTCTCCATCTGACCTGTCAGTGTCACTGTCATCAGTGCTATCATCGTGCTTATCTTGATCCATATCTTCAGGATAGCCGTCATCCTCACTGGTGCTGGAAACGTCATCATCGTGACCCCGCTGAGCTGGAAAGGGAGGAAGGAGCCGGGACAAGACATGTGACTGGGTCCTCCACTATATGGCGCCCCGAAATACAGAAGATCATGCTATTAACTCAGAATAATTTGTTTTAAAAACTTCTACATATGACCTCAGCTATTCATACAGTCTGACAATATTTTCACTTGACAATAGTTTTAAATTCTCTTTTTTGGTAATGTAAGATTTTTTTTAAGGTTCAAATTTGAAAACAAATTCCACTTAGAAAGCTGTATACACACATACACATACACAGTCACTGTGACTGTATACAATGGTGCTCTAGTCAAATGACGATAAAGCTAAATGAGAAATGGGTATCCAAGTCTTAAGAAACTGATGGTGAGAGAGTGACATCGCCAGGAAAAGGCTAATTTAAAACACAATAAACATTTCTATACTTCCTTATGCATGCTTTTACTAGCGTAGATGCCATGATTTGTCCATCTGTTGGTATGTACGTGGTATCCTCATTTATTTCTGGTGAAAAAGATGTTAAATCGCCAACATAAAAAATAATAGCAGAAAGGTTCTAAGAACAAAAGCCAACAGTCACTCCTTACCAAGTTCAGGACTATATAACATGTCTTCATCTCGCCTACGAGCAGGAAGGTCTAGGGCAAAGCCCACTTTACGGCCATACATTTGCAAGACTTGAGGAGGAGGTGGACCAGGGGGAGGACCAGGAGGTTTCCTGCCAGGGGGCAAACGTGGAACACCATGGCCAAGAAGAGGAAGTATAGAAACTGCCCGAGTTGGAGGTCTGTAAAGAAATGTTTATAGTAATCACATTAACAGCAATGAGATATTTACTTCCTCTTATGAACAATTTCCATAGGACTTCTCATTTCATATCTAATCAAATGAGGAACTGCTTACACTCCCACTTTTATCTCCCACTGCATTAATTTGGCACAGTCAAGAGGCATTTTAAATAAATGTTATTTGATTACTTTACCACTTCCTTACCCATAGGCTGACGTCTTCTTAAGGATGGAGGGTGGCTGGGCACCAGGAAGTGGAATGTCCTGGATCAAGATGTTGGAAGGAGCATGCGGCATATCCGGTAAAGGAATGCTCTCCACTTCCACGTGCTGAGCATTCTGAAACGCAGAGAGTCAGCAGGTAAGAGCAATCCAAAACCTCAACACTAAAAACCCAGTGTCAGTTGTTTTGTAACCTGGGTTTGCTCTCCAACTAACAGAAATATCATGAAAAAAATAGAAAGCCTCAAGTCAATATTTCTAAAGACTGTCAAGGAATTGAAATTTGGAAACAGCATATATTCAGTGGTAGAGGCTAGGCTGTAAAAACAGTCTGCCGTTGCTGAATTTCGGTCATATGAGAGATGTATGAATAAGCGTATCACCTCAGCTTCCTGGTCTGCAAAAAGGGACCCATACTACCTACTTTACCAAAATTGCATCAGTTGTTTTTTTTATATTTTTGAGGCAAAATTTACAATGAAATGTACAAATTCAATGAGTTTTGACAAATACATATTCCTCATATTCCTTCCCGGTCAATCCCTAACACTATCCCAAGGCAACCACTGTTATAAGTATTTTCTTCCATAAATTAGTTTTGCCCGGTCTAGAATTTCATACAAATAAAATCATAACTCTGAAGAAAGCACAGCATATTTTTAAGATTTAGCCATTAAAAGAAGTTCTTTTTACCCATGCTGTTGTATCAGTTGACCATTCCTTTTTATTACTGAGTAGTATTCAATTTTAGGAACATATGAATTCATTTCTTCATTATCTTATTAATTGCTTATTTATTTGTTCATGATCTATTACTGTGTTGGGAGACAGATCAATTTCTCTTGTATAAACACACAGGTTTTGATTCACTGGCTAATTGGGTAGGTGTATGTTTACTTTGACAAGAATTACCAAGAGGAGGAGGTTCAACATGATCATATCTCTCATTAACTGTAAGAGCTGATCTAAATAGAAAATCTTAGTTTATCTCTCAAAAGAAACTTGATTACCTTGACAGCATCAAAATATTGGCTAAGTTGAGCCCTCTTCTGTTCATATTCTACTTCTAGCTTTCTCAATTCTTTGTAAATATCTGGATTCTCTTTTTCATAGAGTCGGAGAATACGTTCAAAGGTTTCACGTAGCTTTTTACGCTTGTCTTTCAGCACTTTCTCATTTAACTGTGGCTGCTGCACTGGGTTAAACTCTGGGAGAAAAGAGCAGATTATGAAATTAAACGCAGAAAAAGTCAGTTCACTTAGGTATCAATTAGGTAAAGCTAAATAATGGCTTCCCTCTTATTCGAGATGAGATCTCCAGTTTGTAACAGCCCCCACTCCATTTTGTTTCCCTGACACTAAAACTAAATCCGCTCATCATATGCCATCATGCCTTTTGTTCCTGCCTCTGTGTATCAGACCATTAATCCTGTGGTAAAATCCAGACTTTTATAAATTCTTACCCATTTCATCCAATTTTTCCATGTCCCGGATAATCTGTTTGGGATCTTTCATCTTTAAAACTGCAGCTCGTACCATCATACGCTGTTTTTTGTTCTTAGAAAAATGAAAAAAGAGCAAATTTCAAGAAGCTGAACACCCCTGAATTTTTATTTCAAAAATCAATCGAAACTGAAGTTGAACTTCTCCTTGGTTTCTAATCACTTGTTTCAACCACCAGAAACAGTTATGTAATTTTTTGCTCTCAAAAATGCTTCTACTTTAGACAAAAAGATGTTATTTATTAGAAATGCTTTCTTAAGTATTTCTTTTAACCTTGTGAGATCTTTAGCAGTTCCCAATATTTTAAGGTATTTAAAAACAACAACAACAACAAAGCTTGCAGCTAAATTCTAAAATATATTAGGGAAAAGTCTTACAGAATTTAATGCTAGCAATGAAATAAGAGCAGTTGAAAACTATTAAAAAACCAGGTTCTCTCAACATGTAAGATATGATACTAAAATGTAAATCCTATCTTAATCGGGGGAAGCTTTTTGCCACAACTAAATAATCAGGAAAATGGATGTACAAAGCTATTTAGCATCACTTTTACTCCCACTCACTAATTCAGTAGCTTTTAACAAAGCAGTATGTTATAATAAATAGCAAAACAAGAATTATTTTTAAAGTATTTTAAGTCATTGTGAAAGGTAATTAAATAAACAATGTTATAATAACCCATCATGAGCTTATCTGCAACGTTATTTCATTTCAGTTTTCAAATGTTTCCAAATTTTGGCTTAGTAAATCTTATGGTTTGTTATAAGAAGTATAAAGTATCTTTTCCGGTAAATAATAGGAAATGTTTTCTAAATCCACTCATCTCAAATAATAGGATGTGCCAAACTATGCTTGTATCTAATAGAGTGCTTCTGAAATCATACCTTCTTTAATTCTCTCTTCCGAGCTTCTTTTCCTTAAAAGAGGGAGAGAAAGAGAAAATAAAACTTTCAAATCTTGAACATGAGCATTTTCTCCAATTTAATACAGAGAACTCTTTATTGTGGGAGGCTGCCCTGTGCACTGCAGGATATTTAGCAGCATTCCTTGCCTCTACCCACTAGATACCAATAGCACACTTCTAATCATGTTGACCAAAAGCATCTCAAGACATCTTTAAATTCCTTAAAAAATAACTATGAATTTGAAGGAAAAAGATGCCACAAAATACTGAACAGGAACTTGCAAAACAATTTGTTCAAAATTCCAAATACAAAAAGAATGCTTTACGCCAATTCTACTTTGCAAGTCAATCGAATTAGAAATATGGGTACTAATTTTTTTTAAGTTTTAATCATGTGCACAGTAGAATACTAGATAACTTTATACAACTGATACCTCTTACCACTGATGATCTTGTAATTAAGACATAAAAAAACAGACTCCCTAAGGCTTGCGATTTTTACCACTCCTCCCCTCTATTGTTCCACACTAATGGACACTTACTGGCTTGGTCTGTGGGATTCATAAATTTTCCACTCTTGGTGGATGATGTCGATCTCCGTCCCATGTTGACAATTTGTATGGTTTACTTGTTTTTTTTTAGGAAAAGAACCAAACAAAAACAAAACAAAACCCCAAAAAACCTGCAAAGACAAAAAAATAGCTTATCTTTCCTATATTAACAAAATTTCTTCCTTTTACGTTTTTTAAATTTTCTTCCTACCAATCTCTGAATAGAAACATTCCTTTGATTATTAGACCTTGTTCTTTCCCTACTTTTGACTTCGGTGCCCAGGAAAGACAGCCTCAACTTCACCAACCACAAAAAATTAGATTCCTGCTATTATTCACAAAGGTAATGGGTCTCAAGATCACTATGAATTCCATTAAATCATCAATTAACTTTCATCTATGGGTCACAGCACTGACTTGTCAATTGAAAGAATTCAGTCAGAAAATGCTCCAACAGAATGACACAAACCATGTACATGAGAAGCCATTAGTTCTTTTTCTATATCCTCTTATCTGTTTATAAGTAGGGTGAAAAAAAACTAAAAAGGGAATTAGGGGTAAGGATCTGGACTCAACGACAAACGGCTCATCCTTGCCTCTCTTCATGGTTTGTTGGCATGTATTCCTCATGTATTCCTAATACCTTTAAGACAGTAAAAATTCATTAATTTAAGCCTATTTAATTCAGATATAGTTCTAATACAGATGTAATTCTTGACTCTTAAGCAGAAGCTTAAAACACAACTAAAATTACAAATATTGAAAATGAAAAGTATTATGCGAGAGAACGTCTAAAAACATCAACAGTAAGATACATATTTTTCTTACTAATACCTACTTGACCCCTGATTTATATTCTTTCAGATAACCAAAGGGGATACTTGAGTTTGAGGGAAAACATTTTGTAAGTCAAAATTTTCATTAACTTAAGACCTCTATCACTTCTTCGTTATTCCAATGAATGAAGTTTAACTTCTTGATACTATTTCCAATAATAAACGCAGACACTTTTAAAAGGTGGCAAAGGGACGATCGTGGGGTAAATTTTTTTAGCAGACATAAAATCACACTTCCCTTCATGAAGATTTTGTCAGGCAAGTTTATTAGTTAACGCCTCTTTCAGCAAGTGTTCAACTGCCTTGATTTCTGCTAAAAACTTCAAAGCTGTTCCAGTGGCAACTAATTTACCCTGTCAAAGGTTTCCTTCTCAGAAAAACTGGGAGCCGGGGAGAAAGGACGTGGAAACAAGCAAAATTAGCACAAATACAAGCTGTCACATCTTTTGATGGCCTGTATCTTTTTGGCTTTCCTCTCTCAGTTACCCTCAGGCTCATGTTTTGACCGGCCTCTCCCACAACTGAAACCTAAAACAGATACGAATTAGAGAATGTTTACAGAAAACATAGGAGCCTTAGTCTGCACAAACTACTTTCCTGCCTAAAAGCAGAGGCGATAAGGCGATCGGGCCACAGGCGATTTAGGGGAACTCTCAGCAGCCAAGGAGGCTCCAAAGGGATGGAGCCCAGGTCCACCAAAGGAGCCAAAAGCATTAGCAACTGCCGAAACTATAGCGACGGTTGAGCCGGACTCGAGGTGCAAGACATCAATCCTAAGGCAACCGGTCAACGTCAGAAGGCGGGCTGACCAACCCCGGCGAAGTCAGCCGCTAGAGCGCTGGACGCCACGCTGCCCTGGGCTCGGGGATCCCCTAGTCCGCGATCTGGGGGACCCTAACTGCAGAGAGGAGCGCGGGGCAGAGGGGCCTGGCGTCCCCGAGGCAACCGCGCGGGCCCCAGGAAAGGACGGGAAAGATGAAGACACGGAGGGAATGATCCCGCACACTCACCCTTCTGCTGGGCTCCTGGGACTGTGAGACGCGGGAGGGGACGATCCTCGGCCCGTTTGATTTCGTAGGGGCCTTCACCTCCGCCTCCCGGTCAGCCACCCAGCCACCGCCATCTTGAAACCTCGCGCCCCTCCGCCATTCTTACGTCACTTCCTCTCCCTACCGGCCGAAGATCTCCGCGTCTCTTCGCCCTGGAACCATAGAGAGTAGCCAAGAACTGCGGGGCCAGAGTCTCTTCCGCTCCAATACAGTACCGCATTGGTTGGTTATCGCCTAAAAGCCGGCCTCCATCACGCAATACGGAGGCTCCATGTTGATTGACATGTTTGTAGACCAATAGAAGTAAGAAAGTGGAGCGGGTGGGATATATGATTGGCTGATGAGACGACTGGTCTACCTCTCGGGCCGGAGGCATTCTGACCTAATTTCCGGTAGCTGCATTCGTTGCGCCGCCCGAAGTCGGCCGATTCCTACTGGGCATGTGTAAGTGCAGTTTCTGTCAGCTGGAGTTGTGTTTTTGTAGTTTCTTTCTTTCTTTTTTTCTTTTCTTTTTTTTTTTAATGACATAAGCGAGTGCGACGTTTTGGGAGTTTCTGTTTGAAAACGAGTCCCAGAATAACACTTGCTTAATGCACTTCGCAACCTTGGTGTGCGCCTGGAAGTCAATAGTTTTTACACACATGGAGCGTTTGTAGACCTGAGCAAATCAGTACCTGTATTAGTCCCAGATTGCTAATCTACAGGATTAGTTTTTTAAAGAGAAAATGTGGGGATGCGTGTACAGTTTTAAATTTAATAGTGATTAAGTTGGTGTATTTTGGCTCTCTTCCCTCTGGTCTTCACCCGCCAAAAGTCCTTTACGATGTCCCTATACAAAGGGGGTTATTTTCTTAGGCCAAATCTTCGTCCTTTCTTTTTTTATCTGCTCTTTATCTAAGACTCCTCATATTTTCCCCTGAAAGGTAAATTGAAATACTTAAAAAAAAAAATCTAAGGACACGCTTGGTTATTTGTGATCTTAATCTGAGTATCCCTTACAGGAAAGTGTTAGATATAGATCAGTTCTTACTATCATTTTTAAGTATTCCAAAGTATTGACGGAGATAACATTAATTTTTAGAGAATTTTTAAATAAGCACTTAACCTGTAAGATTGGTCCCTTACCTAAATCAACCTTTGTTTTAGAGAACTCTTGATTTGATCTTAGACTGAATTTTGAGTCCCAGAAGAGCAATAACAAGATATACGTGTATAAATCAGCTAATTAACATAAAAGAAACTGAGATTTAATTTTGGAGGTGAACAAAATTGTGATGTTTTGCAACTAGTTAAAAAAACTGATAGAAGAGAAGGAAAATGAAGAGGACGTTTGAGAAACTATACTATTTCATCTAGCTTTTTCATTTTTGAGATATGTTGGGTTTTTAAATTTTCAAGATATTTCTTGTACTTGGTGCAAGAATCAACTATAACAAATATGTTCTTGCATCAGTAACTTTTAAAGTAATTTTGTAAGCAGAACTCATGAGTCTCAATGGGGAATTATTGGTGAAGGGTTTAGAAAACACACAACTGCAGAAATTCAACTGAACCATTTGGCTTCCATAGCCTTGTGATTTTTCTGAAATGAGGTAATTAGTAAAATGGACCACCTGAAGTTGCATAGAGGAAGGGAAGCTTCCTCTTTTCTGCTAGTGTTGGAAATAAAATTTCCATTTTCTGAAAACTCATAAAGTAATAAATTACAACTTTCTTTTAAAGGACAGATTCTTAAGAGAGTAGCAAGTTCCTCTCCTGAATCTTAAAAGCATTTTATATATACCTGGGATTTACTTCTTCTTTTTAAATGTTCTAGAGTGGTTCAAATATTCATTTGAGTGGTACTTAATCATCACACCACAGTTAGTCAGGATTGATTGCAATTATAGAAACAACTTTTATCTTTTATAATTTTAACTTTTATCTTTTAAAGAGCCACCCAGATTTCACTGTGTACTTAGAAGTCTACAAAACTATTGGCTCCTTTCATTATTGACATAATGTTACAAATCATATTTAGTCTATTCCAGTTTACAGAAAGTTGAATTTAAACTGATGGTCAAAATTATGGTAGTATTTCTATTCCATTCGAAGGCTTAGCGTTTTTATGTAGGCAGAAGTTACTAAGTATGTCCCCTTAGAACTAAATGATGCCTGAAGCTAATGGTAAAAATGAAAGTCTGCATTCAATGTAAATTTTAAGGATTTTTGACTGGGAATTAGAAAAGGAAAAGATAACCCCTACACCTGCTGCTCTACAGTAGCGTTCACCATAATGTTGATTTGTCAAGCTCATTGAGAAGACATCCTGGGATGTAACTTTTACTCACAGGGTCCAGCATCAACTGGACCAGGATCCAGGCGTTCATTGTTGGTAGAAGACTCTCAAGAGTCATCTAGTTTTAGCATCTCCAATTCCTCTTTCTGAGTTGTTTACTTTGTTTATGTCTTTGTTGGAAGCTTATGGAAAGTGAACTTAATCAAAGAAGCAGAACACTATTATTGAGAGAAAAGCAGAAAAATACTCCAGTGTCTGTTAAAGTGGCTGTTTATTTCATTTGGTGTTCCACTGTGTTGGTGACCTCAGTAATGGCATGATGATATTTTTCTGAAGCTGACTTGAATTCTACCAGATGCTTCTCATAACTTTTGATGGCTGCTTGAAGCTGTGTTTTCTCCACTGCTCCCAGGATGGCACGGAAGATCATATCTATGCCTAGGCCAAGAACAGCCACTCCTATGCTGCCAAGAAGAGAAGCACCAATTTGAGCTAGCACAGTGACCAACTTGTTAATTATGCCAGTTGCAATGTTTGAGCCCACAAGTTTAACAGCCACTGCACTGGCAGCAGAAGTAGCTTCTCCCAGGATGACTGAAATAACCTTTTGTACTATTGCAATTTTCTCCGTTTCTCTTTCCTTGATATCCTGAAGTTTTCTATAAAGGGTTGGCTCTAGTTTATCTTTCAGTGCTTCATCAACCTTTTGCAATTCTTTCTGGATTTTCATTATGGCTTGGATGATGATATCACAGTTCTCTTTGATGGTCCCATCTCTTTTCATTTCAATGGAGGCCAGCCTGCACCCTAAGTGCATATTTAGAACCCCAGTCAGCTTATTGGTGGCATAGAAGCTGTCAGATAAGCAATCCAGGAGCTCCTGGTGAAGACGGTGTACTTCTTGCCTCCTTCTTGGGTTCTCTGGGTAGAGGAGGTCACTCTGAGCCATATTTCACAAATGATCTCTGAAAAGTACAACAGTAAATCTTTACTAAAAATCTTGAAAAAATATCTGCTGTGTGCATAGATTTGACCAGGAAGTCTTACTTTATGAATGGCAAAGTAGTATGCTATGTAAGGACTTTCTCAGAAAACTCAATGGGTTTTTCGAAACAATTTTTTTGAAACTTGGAGTCAATGTATGAAAATAGGGTAACAAAATACAACCTATTGATACATTAATTAAGGCACTAGATTTTGCGGTGGGGGAAATCCCAGATAGGAAATATTTGTGTTTATCAAGCATCTGATTATTAATAAACGTGATTATTTCCAAGTAATATTTACTAACATGTTTGAAACAGACCACAGTTTGAAACGGTTGGTTCTTGATTACCAGTGCTCCTTTATTTCCCCAGCTCCTAGTCACCACATTGAATAGATATACCAGATTGATTTTTCTAATATTTGGAGTTAAATTAGTAGGACCAGAAGAATATTAAGATATCCAAGTTTACAGGGCAATAATACCTAATTTTATTTATATACTCTCTTATCTTAATTTACAACAATCAAAAAACTGTATTTTTACAGGCAAATTATTTGCTCTCTAAACCTAAGGGACATCCAGAGGCAACACATACAACATTAGAATCTTTAAAAAAAATCTTTGTGATAAAAGTGTATGTTCAAGATTCCTTGGATTAAAATCTCACTTGGGGAGGCAGTGGGCATGGTGGAAGGGCCAGGGCCATTATGACTGTCTCTCTGGCTCTCCATTTGCAAAGCTTAAAAGCAAACTTAAAAATTAAATTATTTAGAATCGCCTACATTGCACTTGGCCATTATTAAGATAAGCTAGAGTTAGCCTCAGAAAGAAGATGATGCCATTTCACAGAAGTATGAAGGAGTAGGTGGCGAGAGTACACCACAGGATGGATAAAATAAGCCAAGTAGGAGCCTTCTTGAGTTCGTACTTTGGGCTCAGAGAAAGAAGGAGCGGGCATATTCTTCTGAGTGAATCGGGGTGAAACTTTGAGACCAGTAAGAGCTATGTTCCTCAAAATGCACACCTGGAGTGGGCTTCCTCTGTGCCTGACGCTTTCATTTCTAGCTTAAACTCTTGAGAGAAAAGAAGGAGAAAATGGAGTCCTTTGTACCTGTGTGGAGTCTGGCACATTGTCTCTTTGAGTAAACAACATCCTGATTCATTTGGGCCCTATCTTTTCTGGGACTATGGTTCTTAGCCCAGGTATGGGGAACCTCAGAAGCGCGAGATGAAGGGGAGAGTAGACTCAGTGGTAGAGCACATGCACAGCACGCACTTGGTCCTGGGTTCACTCCCCAGTATCTCCATTAACAAACCTCTCCCCCTGCCAAAAATAAAGAACATAAAATATCTCATTTAGAAGCGTGGGATGAAGGTGTTTTCTCTCGAGCAGGTAGACATGAACATAACCTATCCTCCAAGTCTTAAGATACAACATGGAAATGGAAAGGGGGAAATTTTTGAAAACTGGATTAGGAACATAATTTACACTCTTATATTTGGGAAAATGTACTGGTACCCCTGGTGGAATGAATTACATCATGGACAGAAATTCATTTTTACCTTTGATTCCGATACAGGATACACACTCACACACGACAGACACAAATCTCCACAAATCAGTAACGAGAAAATATTTCAGTTCCCCTTAAAGAAATTGTTTGTTGAGGGTCCATTAAATATTTCCCAAACTTACCATTGTATTGCAAACTGCAGTTTGATAACCACAAATTGGGACTTTGATTTCTCTTCTTTCTCCTAGAAATTTTACCTTAAACTTTTTTCTTTTTTGGTTCCTAGTTTTCAGATCTTATCATGAAGTGAAAACTCCAGTTTCTGATTTTGAATTCAGAAGATCACCAACTACATCCCTATTCAGATATTTAGGTGAGAGGAGTCTTTCTTACCCTGAAAAAGTGGAAAATTTCTCTTGCAGCTACCATATGCCATTATCTGAAGGCATAGCTTAGAAAAAAGTGTGTGGGTCTATTTGCCTCAAGATAAACACATGGGGAGATGAACCTCCTCCCTTCGTAGGAAGTTGAATGCTGCCAAGTGGTCAGTTCCTTCCCAGTTAATTCATTGTTTTGATACAACTCAACAAATGAATCATAAAATACATCTGAAAGACTAAATAAGTGAGCCAACTTTTTTTTTTTCAAGAAAAGTAATGATAGGACTTTTCTCTCCCTAAACAAACAAAAAAAAACACCATAAAAACACAATATCAACCAGTATTGTACAGGTGCAAGAGTAGATGATCCCTGAAGGAGACCCTTCTATACATTTGATTTAACATATAATAAATGTAGAGTGTCAGAATAATTGAAATTAGTATTCCATAATGGACTGGCTTGTGGAGGATTAAAAGTTAATTAAAAAATGTTATCAGTGTAACATGCGTAAAAAAGTCAGATGATAAAATAGCTAGAAGAAAATAGATAATTTTCAGGTGTCTTTATGGAAAGCTTTATAAGCTTAAAACCAATAGATAAATGTTTGACCAACACAAAAATTTTTGACTAACAAAGATGACATGTAAAAACAACGGAAAGCAAACTGGTTAAGATGCAGGAAAAATGGAAAAATATTGATTTCTAAAGAATGTTGTTATTGTGTATCTTATGAATAATCTTATGACTAAACATGGAAACATCTCTGAACAGACTGTAAAAGAAAAACTAGTAGTAATTAATTGATGAAAAACGGTCAGTCTTACCAGAAATTGGACACAATACATTTTCAGCTACAGAAGTAATTTTTCTTTCCTTTATATAGTCAAGCACCTGCACATGCACTTTTATGCCCTTCCAGGTTCCAGATATCCATAATTTTGTGCCAGTAACAATTTTGAATAAGAGACATCTTGGTGTGCTCAGAATTATTTTTCACATCTAGTGAAAAAGACTTTTCTGAGTCAGCTTTGCCGCCTTTTTTTTCCCCCAGGGAAGGGCACTGGGAGGCTTCCTTATACAAATAGGTCTTATACCTGCTTCAGTACTGAGTACAGTTTAAGATTATTTCCATCGCAACAGTGAGATAAATGCTAGAGAATTAGATGGAGGAGAGGTCGGATTTGAAGGTGAAACCAATGAATTATGTTTTGAATGGTGAAATTTGAAGAGCCCAATGAAGGAAGTAACTTAATAATTCAGTGATGATTTATTTAATCGTCCTTACTATTATAAGGTAGTATGATAGGCTCTGGAGAGCAAACAGAAATAAAACAGACATTGTTGCTGCTTTTGTGGAATTTCTAACCTGGTTAGTTAAGACAAATTTAAGATTACAGTGTCAGATTGATAGCAGTATCTCACACAGAATTAGAGGTGGTACTTGCATTGGGCAAATTCAAATTTTAAAGAACTCACACTTTAATGATATTGACACCAGGGCCATGTGGAGACATTTGGTCACCTAGGAAGGCTTAACAATTTGTACCCTTTCAAACAGATACTCCTAAATATGTGCTTGGTATTTAGAGAAGAGATTATACACCACGTGAAAAATCTTAGTTGACAAATGTGGCATTTCCACTGTTGCCTGTGACAGTTTAGTTCTGATGCTTCAGTTGCTTGCTTCACTCAGCAAAACAAAAGCCTTACTTCTATTGGAGTCGCCCTTCCTAAAAATCACAGTTGTTACGTAGGCATGCCTCAAGTGATGTCAAAATACATAGTACTGTGCCTAAGAGGAGTTCTGGGCCGTATGCTTTCCCCTTGTTACGTTTTCAGGGATGACCTTTTAAATGTTGACTTTAAATTTTAATCTTTTAAAAATCACTTTAAAGTCATATAAAAAAATGACTTTTAAAGGTTGGCATCAGCAGGTGTCACAGTGGTGTGCTTAATCCAGCTCTGATTATCTGCACCTTTTGTATGGCAGATGTGAACTTTTATGTTATTTGTTATCACTTGAGAGTGCTCCCTGTCAGTGATGGGCAGTTAGCATCCACTTCTGCACAGCAGAGTTTGTGCTGCTATATGAGCGTTTTATTGTGGTGGTTCCTGAAATAGGGTCTAACGAGCCCTGGGGCAGCCTGCCGGGGAGTTGCTAGCCAGCAGGGGGAGCTCGTGGTCATCCGCTGGCCAATTTCAACTCAGCCTTGGCTGAAGCAGCTGTGCTTTCTTTGCGGCAGCGTTTGGGCTGTGGGTGCCTAAAATTTTATAGAGGAGAATTCTGTTGCTAAAACAAAGTTTGGAAACCACATGCATTTTGACTTGTTGTTTCTAAAAAAGAAGTAAACAAATCTGGAAGTACTGATACCAGTGATCAGTTTGTCTTAGGAACTTGGAAGGAAAACAAAGTCTAGCTTCAGATGGATTTTTATTGAACCTAACTCATTAAATTTTGTTGAAATGAGAAGGAAACATTCATTATTAAAGAGCAAATACACTGATGATTGTATCTAAAGGTTAAGGTTTAGTTAGTAATACTATACAGTTGTTTTAGTTTTTCAGAAAAGGAACCACCTTACAAAATAAAAATGTGTTGATTACCACACGTGTAAATACAAATATACCAGGGTACTGTTGTAAATGACAGTAATGCATTGACTGTCAAGTGCTATAGGAATTTAAAGAGAAAAATTAATATTGAGGTGACTAGAGGAGGCTTCATGGAGAAAGTGACATGTGATTGTGCTTTGATGGATGGTAGAATAACCATGAAGATATTAAAAGATTTGATAAAATGAAGTATTTTAAGTTAATAGCAATAATATATAAACACTTTAAAATATAGATGGAAAAACACACATAAACCTACTGCATCTTAATTGTTTTTTTGTTATTCTTTCCTGGAGTTTTTTTAAATGCATCAGTAGTTTTACAAAGTTGTGATGGTAGTATAAATAAAATTTTTGTCTTATATTAACTTAAACACTTTCCCCTATTTCTAGTTTTAGAATCATTTTATTGGTTATAGAAAATATACATACTTATGTGCATATTTTATAAACTATTTCTGATATCTTTAGTATAATTTAATAAATCCTTAATCATTTCACTGTCTTTTAATACTGAATCTTTTAACTTTTAACAATGCATTTTAACTTGTCTTTTAAGTATTTGTGTTTTAATACACATAGTTCTTTTTTTTCCTTCAATTATCTGAATTATTTCCTCAGGATAAATTTCCAGGGGAAATTCAGATTATATAAATGTATAATTTCTATAATCAATAGGAATTAAAATTTTTTATTACTTTTGATAGGTATTGCAAATGCATTCCAAAAACTTTTATACTAACATCAAAATAAATTTTTACAGCAGGATCCTGGGCATATTTCAAAGTCAAAGACAGTTCTGTTAAATATTGTTGATTTGGGAAACATATGGTCAAAGTTTGAAGAGTTCTTGCCTTTCTGGAAGTACATCCTGAAAAAGTTAATGATGAAATTATATTGATATTTGCTTCCAAATAATCTAGAAGGGAGATTGGAGTAGGTTTATAGAGGAAAGAAGATCAATCTTGTTTTGATAATATTTGAAGCTGGGTTAGGGGTACATAGGAGTTCATTATATTATTGTCTCCACTTCTGCATATGTTTGAACTCTTCACATAGTAACAAAAACAGAGAGAAAGGGAAAAAAACAAAAAACAAAAAAACCCATGACCCTGTCCAAGCTTCTGATGTTTGATCATTAGTGCTGTCTCAGGCTTTACCTTTCTCCCTGATGTCACTTGTCCTCACTATCCACATTGGGTCCCATTTTCATGCAAGCTTCACTTATTTGGGAGTGTGAGTATAGGATATGGGTAAAGTCAGAAGCTTTTCAGGGGATGATAACAGCTACTAATTAGTCCTGAGCCTGCTTCTTTAGTTTAAATCAAAACCTAGCCTTTAATTTAAAAGAAATCTTGATCATTGTGTCATGATGCTTTGATGCAAATTCTTCAAAAGAATATTTTGAAGCAAAAAACAATATCACGGTTACTCATCAGCACTTATCAAATGTTCACTTGAGAAACCTCTATCATGTGCCTTGAGGCATTAAAAAAAAGTAGCCGATGTTTCTTGACTTCAAGAAGACAATAATCTATTTGGAGACACACAGCAAGTGTTCAGTGATATTTAAATGTAATACAACTTATGAAGGAGCATAAACACTGTACATTAAGATGAGATTGCACATTCATTCTCTCATAGATACTGAATGCTTGAATTAATGTTAAACACATAAAGGGAAATGTTACAATCCATGTAACAAAACACTTTCATGCATGTGTCACTTCATCCTTACTCTTTTCTAAATTTGGCCTTTACTGCTTTATCTTCCCCTCTGACTTAATTATATAAGCTGTTAGTTTCCTTCTTTCTGAATGTCTTTAGAAAAGTGATCACAAGGAACATGCCATAGGATTCACTTAAAACAAAGTTGTTTTGTTACTTTATCATGTTTATGGTTAGGTTTCAGGTCTGACGTGTATCAGACACTCTTTAATATGGAAAAAGGGTGTTATATCAATACTAATAGAAATAGCCATATTGCTTACCTTGCTGTGTCTCTGAGTTCAGTGGGCCCAGTGCTGTTTAGGAGCACTGCTGAAGTGCTTTTTCATCTGGTTTCATCTGGATGTTTCTGATGGAATGTGATGACTTACAGGCTTTGCTGGTCTCTGCTGGGTCCCTCTGCCTGTCTGGTTCATTAGCTGTTTGTTCATGGTTTACTTCTCCAAATTCTTCCTTTTCCTATATTAATATAAAATTGGTATAATATTAAGTAATATAATTTGAAAGACTAATATAGTGGTAAAACATTCAATTTTTTGTTCTTTAATGGACTTTTTTTGTTGTTGAAAAGTGCTATCCTACTGAGCTAATTCAGTTCAGTAGAGAAGCTGCCTCTTTGATTGAAGCACTCAGATTTTGGGCTTCCATCTTGTCAGCTATTCCAGATCTTTAGCTTCTGTTGCATTTGTACCTCATGTTGCTGGTTACCCTGTTTAGGTTCTCAAGAGATGTAAATACAGATATTTTCAGCCAGAGGTGTTTTGTTTGTGTGTGCGTTCTTTCTTGGCTGGACGTTCAGCTCTTCATCACTATCTCTGTTATCTTGGTGAGTTGTGTTGACAATATAAAAGCCTTAAAGACCAACTTGACTCCTTTCCCTTAAAGCTTAGGTTACAGGTTTCCAGGCTTCTTCCTCTAGATTCTGTCCTAATCCTCAGTGATTCCTTTATAGCAAAGACACATCAGCCTCAGTATAACTTAGTGGGAAGACCACGGGCTTTAGAATTGGACAGTCCCCATTTTGTGTGCCCAAAGTACCACCTACTAGGCATGTAACCCTGGGAAGGGAATTTAATTTCTCTTGTTTTTTAAATTGGTGTCATGTATTAGTTCCTCATTTGTAGAATGTCACAAGGATTACATGAGAGAATAAATGTAAAACACTTGGCATGGGGCCTGATATATGGGGAGAACTTACTAACTGGTAGCTGGACTTCTTATATTAACAACAGTAATTCCTGTGGTTATTGAGTGGGTAGATGATTCAGAACCAAGGTGCCTTTTAGGAGTCATCTGCATACGGATGGCATTTGTAGTTATGGGGACAGATGAGATCTTGAAGTGAGAAAGTGTAGAATATAATGAGGGTCGAAGACACAGCCTTGCAGAGCTTAGGAGACTGGAGAGACACTGGTGGTATAATGAAGAGAAGCTTGCTTGAATAAATAAATGCTTAGGGAGGATATAGAAGGACCAGAGTTGTACAACATCCTGGAGGCCTCAGGAGGGGAAGACTTTGAAGTAGGAAGAGGTATTCAGCAATTTTAAATAATGCAGAGAACGCCAGATGGTTAGGGCCTGGAAATAGGCCAGTAGGTTTGATAATTAGATGCTCTTGGTGCCCTGTGGTAAAATAATGAGAGGCAGAATAAATTGCAGTGATGTAAAGAATTTCTCTCTTGAGAAATCTGAGAATTGAAGGAATGAGATGGAATCATTACTTGAAGGGAAATCAGTGTCAAACTATTCTTTTTTTTTTTTAACCAAGTAAGGAACTGAGTATATATGTAATTAAAGGAGCAGGAAAAATAAAGAGGGAGAGATGGAGAATACAAGATGTATTTGTCGTCAAGGGAGGCTTGAACGACAGAAATGTATTTCCTCACAGCTCTGGAGGCTGGGAAATCTAAGACCAAGGTACCAGTCCATTTAGTTTTTGGAGAGGGACCCCTTCGTGGTTTGCAGACAGTGACTTTCTTGCTGCGTCCTCACAAGGTGGAGAGAGCAAATGAGGGAGCTCTCTGGTGTTTCCTCCTTCAAGTACACTTAAACTGCCATATCAAGGCCTTGCCCTTATGATTTCATTTAACTATAATTACTTCCTAATAGACCCTGTCTCCAAATACAGTCATATTGAGAGTTAGGGCTTCAACGTATAAATTTTTGGAGGACACGGTTTAGTACACAGCACAAGAGAAAGGGGAGATGATTGACAGAGCAGAATTTTAGAGGAAATACCAAAAAGAAGTCGTGAACATTGGTTAGAGACATTGATATTTCTCTCTACAGCAGAAGAGGTGGACTTGTCACGAGAGTACAGAAACATTTTTTAGGCAGGACAGGCATTTTGGGAGTTTACATTAGAAGGTCTTGACCTTTGGAATGCTGCACTTCCTCGATCTGCTGTTATCCACCTTTCAGAGTTATTTGATAGTTACTTTGCATATTCCACCTAGAATTTTTAGTTGTAATCAGTAGGAAAGATTAGATGGAGTGTAGTTGCTCTATCTTAACTGAAACCAGAGCCCCTCTATGTAATTTTTTAATGCTTTATCCAGTCTTCTCCACTAGATTAAACAGTTACTGAGGGTAATACCTGAGAATGGTATCACTCCAAATATTAGCATATTTAATTCAGGATCCAGCACACCATATTTGATATGCAATTTAAATGTAATAAACCACCCCTAATCTACTCTATTTTAATTATTTTTATTAAAGGACAAGATCATTTCTACTTTAAAGCTTGTATAGCTTTCCACCATTTGATAGGAGTTATCCTCATATTTAGATTATACGTTCCATCTCTCTATGATTGACAGACATACTTTTAGTTTTCATTTGGTTTACTGCTTGTTTTACAGTGCTGAGACATTTCTGCAGGAGAAATGTCTTCAGAGGCAGAAAAGGATAAAGAAAGGCTGGTTCAAGCTGCCAAAACATTCTTCTTTCACATGCAAGATCTCGCTTCCTTCACAAATACACTCACCAAATTGTTTAACAGCAGTATGAACACTCAGATCTCCTTGATGACTGTGAGAGACGATGGTAACGTTAAGGATGTCTTTGAACAGATGCTCAGAATTTTTAAGGAAATGCAGTCTGCAGTGGAGGCAAAGCACAACAAAATGCAGAGTGATCCTTTGAGTTCTAAGATCGCAGCAGCCGTGTGCTCTGTGGCTGAGAAGAGCAGCGGTGTAAAGGAGCTGCAGCAGTCCGCTAAAGAGATGTTCCAGAATATCCACACACCAGCCCTTGTCTCTGTGCTGAATAGTAGTAACGTCCTTGAGAGTTTGGAGTCCTCTCTTTCACTCTTAATGAAATATCCTATCATGAATCTTCAATTAAATGACTTCTATAGAAAAGACACCAAAGAGCAATCAGATGCCACCGCATCTGAGAAAAGCCCAAGTCCAGGTCCATCCAAAGCCACTACAATAGATGCCTTGAACAAGTTGCAGGATGCACTGAACACTGAGAATGCCAAGAACACAATTAAGTCAGCTGCAGATCAGTTGGAGCAAGTTGTCAAAACTATGGGACCAATCTTAGAGACCCTCCAAAAAGCCATAAAAACTATGGAAGCCAAGTTTTCTGTGTTTAAGAAAGCCAGTGATTAGTAGGAGGGCGACAGAAGTGCTCACTTTGTCAGAAAACTGATTCAAATCCTGTGCGTTTTCAAATAATACTTTCTAAGACCTTGGATGCCAGACATGTGGTCTGTTGGGGCATGAATTCAAAGAGTAGTCACCTGGCAAACCATTTACCTCAAGTTTTGCTTTATTCAAATAAAAATGAGCAAAGAAACCCTGCTTGAAATGGCAGTTACTGAAAAGAATATATTATTCAAAAAAATCAAGTTTGGTTTATGTAAAAAAGAGAATGTTTCTAAACATACTTCATCTTCAAGATAATTAAAATAGCCCTCAACTAATTTCCACTCTTCGTAATCCTATTTCTAGTTCCTGCAGTGCAAAGTCCAGGTAAATGTACCCATTATCATTAAATAATGTGGCAGAAACTAACATTCAGTCCTAGGAAACATAAACTTCCATATTTGTATCACTCATGTACCAATTTTTATATACTTTGGTGCCTTGTCCATCATGAGCCATCACTAAATACTTCTGATATGACTTATCTAAAAGTGAATAAGAACAGTGAGTGAGGAGTAATAGGCTTGTCATGTTTGTGTGAATAAGATGAGAGCAGATGAGTTATTCTTGTTTGTCTCCTACTGAGATCTTACAATTAGGAAATACTGGAGGCTGGAAAATGAAGGTGCTCTATCTAACCTTTCACAAAGAAAATAGCATAACACTTGTTACTTGACTGTAACAGAAGTAAGGTTTCTGAGCTGTGCTTGTATTAGGGATGAAAAGTTAGACAAATCCATTTGCCTACCATAACATCTTGGGCTCTCATGGATTGCAAATGAGTGTATGCTCTCAAGATTGCCCTATGTGACATGATACCCAGTAGGGAGTTTGTTAAGAACAAGAAAAGCAATGAGTAATTCTAGTTTTTTGTTTTTTTAAATATGGAATTTATTACTCACTTTAAAAATAGTTAACTCTAGTTCTCCATTGGAATCTTCCTTCTGAGAGTTTTCCTCATTTAAACACTTTCTTGTTTAAAATTTAAAATCCCATTTTCTCCTTAAAAAATGATTCCTTACACTCTATTCAAAATTTAAAAAAAGGTCTGAAGCATGAGAAACTAAAAGGGAAAGAAATTGTGAGCGTTAGATGGAGAGAAAGAAAGAAAATGCTCTATTTACATATTCTTTTTATTTTTTTAATTTGTTTTTTAATTTTTAATTTTTTTATTGAGGTATAGTCAGTTATAATGTGTCAGTTTCTGGTGTACAGCACAATGTCCAAGTCATGCATATACATACATATAGTCATTATCATATTCTTTTGCATTAACGGTTATTACAAGATATTTGAATATAGCTCCCTGTGCTTTACAGAAGACATTTGTTTTTTAGTCTACTTTTATATGTAGTGGTTAACATTTGCAAATCTCAAACTCCCAGATTTATCCTTCACCCCTTTTCCCCAGTAACCATAAAATTGTTTACTATGTCTGTGAGACTGTTTCTGTTTATGAGGTCATTAGTGTCTCCTTTTTTTTTTTTTTAATTCCACATATAAGTGATATCAGGTTGTATTTTTCTTTCTCTTTCTGGCTTACTTCACTTAGAATGACAATCTCCAGGTCCATCCATGTTGCTGCAAATGGCATTATTTTATTCTTTTTTATGGCTGAGTAGTATCCCATCATATAGATATGCCACAACTTCTTTTACATATTCTTTAAAAAATTTTTATTTTATTTTTGTTATTTACTTTTGGGAGGGAGATAATTAGGTTTATTTGTTCATCTATTTAATTTTAGAGGCAGTACTGGGGATTGAACCCAGGACATCATGCATGCTAAGCATGTGCTCTAGCACTTGAGCTATATCGTCCCTCCGTTATTTACATATTCTTCAGCCAGCTGTGCAGTCACTTACATGAAGGTTGCCAGATGACCTCCCTAGTCATGGCTACTTTGAAGTTGTACTTTTGTCAGCTTGAGCCAAGAGCCCAGCTCCAAACCCATGACTGCTATTGTAGTTACAATCGTAACTTTATATTAGTAATCCATTCCATTCTCCCTACCGGTAGGACCTTCAGAATGCCCTATGGTAACGGTCGAGGGGATTTTGAACATTTCCAGGGCTTAGAGGGCCTGGAAAAGGATGAGTTTCAAATACATTAACTCTGCATTTTCTCTCCACTCTAAAGCTGAATCCTCGCTCGCTGGCAGTAGATACCCATTAACAACTACCTTATTTTGAGGGAGCTCTTGAGCTGATCCATTTGCTACTCTCCTCTCAGAAACACACATATACAAATGAGAGGAGGGAGGTGCACCTCTTACTTTGTTACCTTTTCTGAACTTCTGTGTGTCTGGAGCTTTACTTGCCTTTTCTTGGACTTAGGGTTGTACACCAGGGTGTTGCTGGGGGACGCACATGGAAATGAATGGGACAAAGAAAAGTCCTGGGTCAGAGTCTTTCTGTGAAATGACTGGAAGAATGACAGGTGACAGTTCAAGGGAAATCTTCACTAGACGCCATTGGGAATGGCAGCCAGTGTAGCCCTTTGATGTTAGAGATGGGTGGTGCCCACCTCAATAAAGATGGGTGGCCTTCTGATGCTGGTACATTCTGTATATACACAAAGGGGAGATGCACATGTTATTTTAATAAACTTACTATAAAAGATACGTACTATGCAAATTTATAATTTAGTTTATTTTAGCAGTCCATGTGAGTTTATGTACAATTTAGGGTCCATTTTATTCTTAGAAGATATCCCAGACTAACAGGGGCAGAAATCACAGTGAATTTTTTGAAATCAGTCTCCTAAAATTTTATGAACTTAGACTTCAAATCAATTTAAATCAAAGGTCCTCTTTACAAACTTCTTGCACAAAATGTTTGGACCTCAGGGAGAGATGGAGGGGATGCAAACTACATACAATCATCCTTAACTAAACCCATAAATCTACATCAGGAGAACAACTTCTAGCTCCAGAGACCTGTTCCATAAAGCAGGAGGAAGAACTAAGTTATCTTTTCTAAAGCTTGGTTATTCCCTTAATGATTATAATCACATAGATCACAAGTCTGGAGGGCTTATTAAACACAGATTTCTGGGTTTCTGATTCCATAGATTTGGGGTCAGGCCCTAGAATTCACATTTCTAACAGGCTCTTAAGGGATACGGATGCTAGTGGTGCTGGCAGTATGCTGTAAAAATCACAGTTTAAAATGTCTTACTTAGAAAACTCTGATTTCTCATGGATGTCAAATGCATTAGGCTAACTCTCTAGGCTTAACTGACTTAACTGGCTTCAACTTTCCTCTCCAGTTACTTTACTCCTTCACTTTGCCAGACCTATTTTCTGATCCTCATATGCGGTGATCATCCTGTATCCCACCTTCTTCTCTACCCAGCTGTCTCTTTTCCACCCATCTGAAGACCCTCCTCTAAGTCTTGTCTCTGACAGAAAGCTGTACCCAACTAGAGGCCAGAAGAATCCTGATTTTCTCTATAAACTTCAAGCACTTATTATTTATACTTGTTATTGGCACTAAGCACTTGATACACACCCATGCTTCCTGTTTTTTCTCCTTCCTCTTACCCTTTGCTCCCATCCCATTGTCCCAAGGTCTTGCTCTAATGCTGCCTCCTACTTGAAGCCTTCCTGGCTTCCTCTCTCACCTCAGTTAGAAGGAATCTCTCTTCTGAACTCTCATGAACAGAAGACTTGATTTCCCTCTATCTTTTGATATTTCCTTTGTGACTTGTTTGTGTTATTTTCTTTATTTCTTCTAAGAGATTGTAAACTTATTGAAGATCTGGCTTAGTGTATCCAAATTTGAATCTCAAAGTGCTTTGTACATAGTATGGCTCAACAAATGCATTTGTATAACACCAAAAAAATATATAAGCAAGATGTAGGAGGCTTTTCCTAACACATTTCACCACTGCCTCACCAAGGCTCACTGCAAAGCTTGTTCCTGAAGCCATGCCCTCAGGATTCTCTACTAGATAGCCACTAATCTGCCAAAGATTCTGGGCAATGAATCATGGAAACTGTATGTGTTTATGGAAATTTTGTTTGCTTAATTGGGTGAAGATGCCAGTGTAAGCTAGGTAACAGACCCTATTCATTTCAAAATCTCAATGTAAAGGATGATAATACTGGGAACCTCCTACACTGCCAGTGGGGATGTAAATTGGTGCAGCCACTATGGAAACCAATATGGGAGGTTCCTTAAAAAACTGAAAAAGAGCTACTGCATGATCCAGCAATCCTACTCCTGGTTATATATATCTGGAAAAAACAAAAACTCTAATTCAAAAAGATACATGTACTCCAGTGTTCATAGTAGCACTATTTACAATAGCCAAGACATGGAAACAACCCAAGTCCCCATCAGCAGACTATTGGCTTAAGAAGATGTGGTAAATATGTGTACAATGGAATATTACTCAGCCATAAAAAGAACGAAATATTGCCATTTGCAGCAACATGGATGGATCTAGAGAATATTATACTTCATGAAGTAAGTGAGACAGAGAAAGACAAATACTATATGATATCACTTATATGTAGAACCTAAAAGTAATACAACTGAATCTAGATACAAAAGGGAAACAGACTCAAAGACATAGAAAACAAATCAACTTATGGTTTCCAAAGGGGAAGGGGGGGAGGGAGGGAGGGATGGGAAAAAAAAATGACAGTACTGGATGCCTGAATTCTCTACCTGGTGAGTTGATGCCATTAATTCCTCACTCAACCTCTTCTGTTATGACCCAGGCCCTTGGGGAAATCCTACTGGGGCTAGATGAGCTGATTTCCAATTTTGCTGCGTCTTATCTAAGTCTCAGAGGAGCTAAGTAGCATGGACTTTCAGAATTCAAAGGTTTGGCACCAGTTCTCACCTTCACTCCATTTAGCCCAATTAGTAGGGTCTTTGGAGATCAGGTCAAGCAGTCCCCCATTGTCCCACTTATCTTGTCTCCTCCCTGAGAGAAGAGTTGGAGGACATGCCCAGCTGTGAAGTTGATGATTTATACTTCTTTTTACTTAATTGTTTGCACATAATGAGGACTCATATCTTTGATATTTGCGTGGTAATTTGAATATTTGCTTAGTAATTCCCTTACCTTCTCCTTTATCTCCACACACACCCACTTGCTTTCCTAACAAACATACTTAAATTTGTGATGAAGACTTAAAGTCCAATTTGCCATAAAGCATTCTGTAAATTAACATATGAGTTTAAATTCTAAATTTTGTAATATTTTGGAAGAAACATGTGTGCCACACCCCATTACTGGCAGTGAATGAGATTCCCCTAACATCTTTCATTAACTGTCCCACCTATTTCTCGGGTTTCCGTGTTTCCTTACACCTGAGACTACAATGGTTTGGTTTTGAATGCTGGCAAAAATCTATTAAGATTATTCACACCTTTAGTATGTCTCTGAGGCTCAAAGCTTTATCATTTGATGAAGAATTTGTCCATCGCTTTATAACTCAAGGGTCTCTGATTTGTTCCTAATATTTAGGATCGCTAAATTAAAAGTGAAAGAGTCCTTGTATTCATCATAACTCCTTCGACTGCATGAAATAGAAATTTTAATTCAAATTATATAAGCAAAAATACGATTTATTGATTTATGAAATGAAAAGCAGTTTCAGGCACAGCTGGATCTAGGGGCTCAGACACTTTCATCAGTTTTCACTTTCTTTTCATTTCTCAGCTCTTTTTTCATTGTGTTAGCTGCATTCTCAGGGAGGCAGGTTCTCTCTTCTCGGTAGCAAGGCAGCCACTGGCGATTCTAGGCTCATACTCTGCTTTCACTAATCTTCACTCAAAAAAATGGCTCCCATGTCCTCCCAGCCCAGTCCCATAAAGTACCCTGCTTGTATCTCACAGGCTCTGACTGGATCACTTTTCTATTCCAACATAAATCTCTGTGTCCATGGAGAAGTTACTCATAGGCAGTGGGCTGAGCCAGGTCTGCATCAATTGATAGGTGTGCAGAAGGATTCCCCACGGGTAGTCAGGGTGCTTGGACTGGAAGAAAGCAAAAGGGGACAGGGAAGGCAAAACCCACAAGCCTTCTTTATGCTCCACCTTTGGAAGAGATGATGACACTGGTCAAAAAGGAGACGGAAGCAATAACTGCGGGAGTAGCGATGCACTTTTTGCTGGAAGCTGTGAAAACAAACATGTAAGAAAGTTAGCAATGTTTTTGGTAGCAGAGTTATTTATTTTAAAACACCTTATTTCTCCTTTGATTCACTTTTTTTTTTGGATCTTTTCTTTTTTTTTAATGGAGGTACAGGGGATTGAACCCAGGACCTTGTGCATGCTAAGCATGCACACTACCACTGAGCTATACCCTCCCCCAGATTCACTTTTGTAACTTAGAAAATTCCTAATAAAAATATCTGAAGCTAGCTGCTTTCCAAAAAAAGTCTTCTCTTAGATTTTTTTTCTAACTCACAGAACTCAGCTTGCTTATTTTGCAGTCGATGAAGCCAGCACCGAGAGGTTAAGGGGTTTACCTCAGGTCGCCCAGCAGAGCTCCTGATTTTGTCTTTATTTTCGTCAGCAGCAGAATTGTTCCCATTACCGTTACCCTCACCTTAATTATAATCATCTTATCACCATTATGAGAACTAACATTGATCAAAAGTTTATTCTCTGCTAAGATCTGTTTTAAGCACTTGCTATAAATTAACTCATTTAATCCACGTAACAAAACTAAACTTTGAAGTATTCTCATTAGCCTCACTTTTTACTTAATAAAACTGTGACACAGAGATGTGGAGAAACTTGTCAAACATCACACACCTGGTATGTAGTGTAGGCAGTGATCAAACTTAGGCAGTCTGGTTCAACTCTATATTTTTAACCACTGTATTGTCTCTCCATATATTGCATGTCCTTTCATCAATTTTTTTTTATTACAAAGTGGGCAAAAAGTATTCACCCCTGCTTGGGGGTGTGTGTGTGTGTGTGTGTATGTGTGTGTGTGTATGTGTGTACTGCTTACATGTATGCACTTTTCATGGGGAAAAGTTAGCAGCTAATTAGGTGTGGCTGATGGAAGCAAAACTAGAATACAAAAAGTTATTGTTAGATGTAACTACTAATTGGGAATACAATGGGATGAGATTTTGGAATGAGATGCAAGATGGGAACCTTTTTAAAAATGCTCTAAAGACTGGAATCTCCTTTTCAACCAGCCTTTACTGATTATTTAGCATAGAAAAGACATTTGGGGTAGGAAGACATTCAACTCTGTGATTGCCTCAATATTGGAACATATTGTTTGATAGGATCATCAGATGATGGAGAAATATTTTTCCCATTACTTTCACATAATGTATAAAATCCCTTGAGTTTCCTGAAATTTCTATTTGAAATTCTATATGTACTAACAGTAATTTTCAAAACCTCAGTTTTCTTAGGTAAGAAAAATTAATATTGCATACATATTTCCAAGCTTTTGTCAAAGTTTGTTTTAAAATTGTATTATCTAAATTCTTACAGGGACCTGGGGACCATTAACACCACTTTAGGAAGTCACTCATTGGAATGATTATTAAGTGTTTTTTGTTTTATTTTCTCTTCACTGAGGCTAGAGATCACAAAAACCTCTAGCCCCTTACTTTTTCATAGGGTAAGATTCTACTGAGGAGTTATCAGAAAATATTGATTAACATGGAAACAGTATAATAGAGAAAGATGATGGTTTTGGGGGATGATTGGCTTTGGTGTTGAAGCTCTACCCTAGATGTTTGACTTAGATCATGTCAGTTACCTTCATTGGGCCTCAGTTTTCTCACCTGAAAAATGAGAGCATCTCCAGGTTTTTGGAAATGCCATTATCACCGCTACCACTTTGCTTCATTGTGATTGTGCTAATGTTCAAATAAGAGACAAACACAGAGACGTTGCTATGTTATAATCATACTCATCCTTCAAAACTACCTCTGAAGCCCTCTCCATAAAACTAGAATATTAAAAATAGCTTACTTTAATTTTATTTTCTTAGATTAAAGTAATTTTTTCTTTCCTCTCTTGTTTTTCTCCACCTCTCTTACGGTCATTATCATTTCTACTTCATATTAGTATTTTTTTACACAGGCAGTATATTTAGGAGAATAAGTGAAAAGTACCTGTGAATTAAATTAACTGCAGTCTCTCATTTGAAGACAACCCACATTAATTTTACTTTTGTTGTTTGTCTTTACTTTTCTTCTAGACTAGTCCATGCTTTTTACTCCCTCTGTCCCCTAGTACAGTACTTTTCAAATTGGAAGTTGTGATCCATTAATGGTTTGTGACATCAGTTTAGTAGGTCATAGCCATCACTCTTTAATAATGTAATAATGGGTTAAAATATAAAACACTAGCATTACAATGCATGTGAAAAGATCAACTATTGTCTTGTTGTATATGCATCTGTGTATGTGTATGTGTATTTATGTGAATGCAAAGTGTGTTTATAATGTAAATAGTCAGAGTCACAGAAGATTGAAACAGATTGTAGGTTCTCAGTAACATTTTTGAAGGGAAAAATAAATCTCCTGAAAGCAACCTATAGAGAAAATTGTCCTGGACTTGTACAGTGGGGTCAACAGCCCAATATACAGGTTGCTTGTACGAATTAAAAGCTAATGGGTGTGACAGTCTTGTGAGCTAAACTGCTAAACAAATACCATTTGATTGGTGTGTTAAAACCTAAATTTCATCACGTCTGCCTTAGGTACACAGTCTGGGAAGAAATGCATAATTATTATGTCTTTTATCTCATGAAATCTGAATCTGTGAATTATATCAGACTGTTCAGAAAGAAATATTCAATCTCTTGAAAAAAAGCAGAAAAAGGAAAAACTGACATGCTTTATATCTAGTTAATCTATTATTTGGTGGCAAATGCAATCTAGAGCCTTGCTCTGTCAAAATTCTGAGTGATGAGTGTTATCTTTTAGAATGTTATCTAGAAAAAAGTTGGCCCTAAAAGAATGATGTTATCTCTTCCGTCTTTTCCTTTTATAGTCAGTTTTACTGAAGCAGACATTTGTGCCATTTAACTATTATCCCACTTCCATGTGCAAAGTACTTTCCCAGAGTTTTTCAGTTGTGTTTGAGAGGGTGGATACCAAGTGCCAGCACAACATCTCTTCTAGGAAAGTGTTGCCCTTGTGTTAGACATGAGGAAAGAGAGTTGTCATTTGCACAAGGCCACAGAGCTATGGACGCGCCCAGCCCTCACTGGCCCCACCGTCCCTGCTCTTCCCATCATGCCATGTGGTCTCCCAGGTTTATCCGATTACCCATTCTTTTGTCCATTTGTCTGAGACAGACACTCTACCTCAAGGTGAGTGTGATGCCACCAATGGAGAAAACTGCTCTGAGATAACTGAAGCCCAGAGTAAAAGAAGACAGGAAACGATAAGTTAATAAAACAGGTAACTATAAAGGTAGCAATGATAGCAGCTGAAGAGTTTTGGATACTTATTTAACATGTGTCACATCCAATTCTAAGAGCTTTTTACTCTTACTTCATGTTATCCTCACCAGAATCTTATAAAGGTAGGTTTTACTTTTTTAAAAAAAATTATTCCTATTCTACATATAAAGAAACTGAGGCACAGAGAGACGAAGCCGTTTGTCCGTATTCTCACTGCTAGTAACTGGCAAGATTAACGTGTAAAACCAGGCTCACTACAAACAATTGACTATATTTTTTCTGGAAACATGCTTAAGAATTTTGATTATGTGAAACATTTTGACAAATAAACCCCTCTTCTTTGTGAATCCAGTGACACAGAACAGAGCATGTATTTGTGTGTTTACAGATTTTTGGCACAGATTATTTTGCTGAAAAAAGCAACATTTAAGGACCGATAACTCACATAACATATTTTGAGTCTTCCAGTGGGCGTGAAAACATCTGTTTCTGTGGTAACAAGTACAGGTCATGGGAGGGGTGAGAGAAGAATTAGAAGAAAATTTCTTTTGCACATTCACTCCCTTAAATGTATTATGCTACCAGTTTGACCCCTTGACTCTCTGAAGGCGACACATTCCTGAGAATTCTTTGAACTTGAGAACTGCAGTTACAAGTTGTTGGAAGCAATTTTGAAATACACTGAAGGACTGGGGAAGCTCTGCTCTCTAATTGCTGCCTTTTTATCGGGAGAATGCAGGGCCCTGGCTGACCAGTTTTAAAGTTCTTCCTGTTGTTTTTCACATACTGCGTCTGTCAGATTAAGAGGGAACCAGAGAGGAAACATAAATCACTGCCTCACGGGGATTCGGGGGGACGTAGAATCGCTTGTGGCTCCTGCTTGTGAAAACATCGAAAGGAGAGGATTCCAGTTTCATGAGAAATCAGATATCCGTTCTGCTTCATTTATTCATTCACTCATTCACACCCTCTGTGAAGCCCCGAGGCTGCGGTTAGTGGTGTAGTCCAGGTGGTGGGGTGGGAAGAGTGAAGTGGGCCATAGCAGCCGTCTAGAAAAGCAGGTCTGGGAGACAACTAATCTTACTCCCTCCCAGTGAAGGACTCCCAGTTAAGAAAAACCCACCACCTCCCCGCTCCCATTGTTCATGTATGGGTCGACCAATCTAATGCTGCTCCAGGATGTTGGAATAAGTACAATGTTACTTACTAGTTAATAGAAATGACTCAAGAAAGATTTTGGAAAGAGCTTACCTACTGAGAAAAATGAAACACTGCACTGAATAGCTGAAAGCATTCTGAAGTCAATCAAACTTTTCTTTTTTTTTGTAACCGGTAGAGATAGGTGAATATTGGTCCATTCCTAGACTGTATAGTCTTTTTGTCCTCAGCTGAAGTGTCTGTGCCAACAACTAGCCAATGGCAGACTTGAGGCTTCCCTCAGTTGGCTTCCCTATGAGGCTGGGGGAGGGATGGTGGAACCAGAGGATGGAGCAGCTTCCCTGCAACTTTCAGCAGTCATCACTGCAGGCTCAGTTTACTCTCCATCATTCACTCTCCTGATAGCTTTATAGCTGTGCTGGCTAGAAGGACACCCCAGTTCCAGCTCTTGGCCTATCATACAATGCCTCTGACCAAAATATTACCCTCCAAGACCAGTGGTACTTTTATTCTGCATTTATAATCTCTTTTCCCGAAACTGCCCAGTGATGAATTTCTAGGAAAAATTGAGATATGGTAACTCACATCTCAAGTGACCACACTCTAGATCATTTACACTGTGGTGACAGCTCCTTACTCTTGACTAGGGGCTGAATCTTCTAGAATATTTTCCCTTCATAGCAAATATTAGAACTCTTTTTAGTCAATTGAGTTATGTTGTCATCAGACCCAAGGCCCAGATCTTTTAGAGGCATTTATTCATTCACTCATTCAATCATTGTAGATTGAATGCCCCCTGTGTGCCAGGGGACTAAAGTTAATAATAGTCAAAACTTATTTACCATTTATTATATGCTAGGGAGTGTAGAAATAATTTAGTATTTTATTTTACCTAACCTTCACAAGAGCCCTACGGGGCTCTTATCATTTTGCTCATTACGAGGGTGAAAGTTAAGAGTTTAAGCAGTCTGACTGAGAACACAGCTAAAAAGTGGTACACGTTGCATATGAATCTAGACAGGGTGGGTCTGGGGTCAGACTGCCTGGATTCCATGCCAGGCTCTTAAACAAGATGTAGCCAAGCCCCTGCCCACCAAGAGCTTACAGAGCGAAAGACTATTGAGTGCCTTAGGTTTGATTTCTGATTTCAAATATCCCAAGACCAACCAAATTTCCATAATCTAGTAATACTCATGGCTATCACAGATAAGCCCTAACTCAAAACCAAGTTAAAGCTGTGTTTGAGTAGTTTCACCACAGGAGAGCAAAGGTCACTAATTTGGGGAGGGAGAAGGGTCTTGAAGAAAGAGAGTCCCTGTGTTTCTTTGGGACTTGCAGAGTGCTAGAGCGTGGAAAATGGTTTCTGTTATATATTCCTCTCCCGTCTCCTCCTCCTTGACATAAATAGTCAATGATTTTTTCTCTAGTGTATTTTACTGTGCTCATTAACCTAGGATAAATATTACCCAACTCAGATCCATCATGAGAATGAAGCAACGGTGTCCTCGGCAGATGCGGTTCCAAAGAATCCTGGAATCTGAGTGTGGAGTGTGCATATTATCATTATTATCAAAAGCTCACTGTTTTGTTCACATTTTACTCTAGTTTTCATTCTTCTCTATAAACACTGATCTTTGGGGTCTGAAGAGATACACACATTTCATTCATAATTGCTGCCTGCCCCTCTGTCAAGGGGAGGAGAGAGGAGATAAAAGTACGGGTCACCTCTCCCTGAGTCTGTGTTTACTGATAGGCCAGGGTGAGCAGGACTTAAACTGCAGGGTGGATGCCAGTTTGAGGACCTTTGCAACGCTTTAGCCCTGACGTGTTGAGAAATGATGACAGCCTGAATGATTAACACTGGTAATGAAGATGGAGTAGAGAAAGATCCACGGATGTTTCAAAGTTAGACTCTTGAGCTGGATTGCAGTCAACTGTCAGTGTGAACTAATGCACATGTGGATAAGGAAGGTCTTCTTCCTTCTGCTTCTGAATCAAACAAGGCGCAGCAGTTACTACAGCATTTGGACAGCATTTGCTCTGTCAAGTGACTGGCTGGCAACATGTAAGGCTAAAATGGGATCAGTTATGTGTTTTTCTTAAAAGGAGTTTAGCATTTTTTTTTGTATTGTGATATCTCTAATTTCTCCTGCTTCAGTTCATTTTCCACAGTAGCAAGAGCCCTTGCTAAATGCTGATCTGACTGATGCTCTACCTTACAAACTAAGGATTTCTTACTACTTACAGCATGAAGCTCGAAAATCCTCAGTATGGAATACAAGAATTTTTACAGCCTGGCCCCATCAGAACTCTCCAGCCCCAGTCAGTCTCCTCTCCCTCTCTACTCCTAGTCTCTCCCTGTCCTATACATCCTACCCTCCAGTCATCCAGAATTTCGGAGTTTCCCTGAAAACACCAGGCTATTTGAAATCTCTGATTCAGCATGTGCTTTTTCTGCTTGAAATGACTTTTTCTCTCTTCTTTCACTGCGAACTCTCATTCCTACTTCCAGTCCCATGTGGTCCCCTATTGGGAAGCCTTCTCCCTTCCCCCAGAGAGGATGAGTGGCTAGCTTCCTGCCCTGGGCCACCACAACTGCTGCTTAAACATCTGGCGTATTACTTAGTACTTTTGGATGTAGACATTAGTTTGTATTTCCACTTCTCATGAGACTAAAAATCATCCTAGAATAGTGATTTTGCTTTATTCTGTGTCGCCTGGGCCCTTACATCCCATTTTCCAGAACATAGAAAAAAGGGTTAATAGGTAGGCGTGAATGAGTAAATCACATCTCCTGCTTTGCTTTTAGCACTCCTTGCTCATGAAATGACCATGACAGAAAAAGGATTTGAGGGAGAAGGTTAAATGCTATGTTTTATTCCCTATCTTCTCCAGTAGAGATACCGTATTTGTCTAGAATGCCCCATAGATGAGTGCCAGTGCAGAGACACGTTTTCCTGGAGGCAGGTGAGGAGAAAGAAGAGAGGGGAATTCAAGAAATAAGGCGGGTGTTCTCTATTCTGCCAGTTCCACCATTACTGAAGGCTAATATCCATGTTTTTGGCCTTCCCCCCAGCCAGTCCACTCAGAAAAATAACTTTTATAAAAGAATAGCGGTCTGTGACCCTGGTAACAGTGGATTCAATTTGGGTTAATAATAATACCTTTCAGCAGCTGGCAGTTATACGTGCTCAGGTTCCCAGTTGACTGCAGTTGCAACCAGTTTCCTCTTGGGTGGTAGCTTGTATTTATAACTTTAAACAACTCATAGGGAGGGATCAGGACCTCCTTCTTGAGAGAGACATCTTGTACAGGTGCACCCAGGCAGGTTAATATGGTAAATAACGTTTGGTTCCCAGACTTCCGTGCCTCTTCTCTTAGGAGGGAGGTGGAGAGGAACTGGCCAAATCGAATGGTGGCACCTCTGTGGGCTTCTAAGTAGACATCCTTCATCTCGTGATGCACCTCATAACACAGGGGGTCATTCCTCCTAACAGTCTCGTTCCTCAGCAGCTGGATTGCCGAGGTCAGGTAGTAGTGTAGATATTTGAAATGGAATGAGTGTTCATATTGCTGGGGAGACCCAGCAGCACTGGCCATGGCGCTAGCGAAGTCTGAGCGAACGGTGTTGTTGGATGAATAAACCAAGATGGCCAAGGCATGTGCAGTAGTCATGTTCTTGGGGAGAGCTTTTGCTTGGTTCAACCAGGTTACATGGGTGAACTGCCAGACCTTGCGGTAATCCCGACGGGCTTCTAGTTCTTTTGTGAAATAATCCCCTTGAATCAGCTCGTCCATGACCTGTTGCTTGCAGCCTTGGTACTGATCATCAAAGGAATTTGGTGCCAAGTCAAAGTCGATTTTAACTGCAACCTATAAGGAAGGAAGAATCTTGATTTTAGTTTTTCAAATCAGATGGTGAATCTTGTTGACCTGAAATAAATAGACTGCCAGGTATTTCTCTGGCCAAGATGGGTTTATTTGGGATCAGCAGAGAATTGCATTTCAGGGTCTGTAACCATGGTGTGCCATGTACAAGTCCCTGTAGGACAAGTGAAGAGGAACACTTTCATAGGAAAAGGAAGATTGTGGGGAGGCGGTTTAGTAAACAAAGAGTCCATGTCTTTCCTTGACGGAGCCCTTGCCAGGAAAGAAGTCTTTCTTCTTCCTGTTGGACTCCACTATATCTCAGGGTGTGAGAGCTCCCCATTCTGGTCTCCTGACTCTATTGAGGTTTCTGTTTTATAACTTTGTATAGTGTGATAGCAGATTTGCTATACTCTAAGACCAAGTTGTCTACTCAAAATCAGTATTTGCTGAAGCACGTTTCACTCTTGATCATTACACTGCTCCAGTCCATCCTGTGTCAGTGACCCACACTAGAGATTGAATTTTGTTTGACAAATATCACTGAAAGCACAAAAAAACCTTCATTTCAAAACCTCAAAAAATCCAGGGAGGAAGTGACCTTTTTTTATATCACTGAGAACAGTCTTTTTGCATATTGAGCATTTAAGGAAAAAACAAACAATGTTAAAGTTTAATTATACTTTCTGTTTCTTCTCCTGACCCCTTCACAATCTGTCATGAATATTTTAAGGCAGATCTCTTTTATGACTACCTAAAACCTGTATGAAATCTTTGGAATTTATTTAAGAAAAGATTTAAGTGATGAGTAATGTTCAGTTCTCCAAGGGGACCCCTAGTTAATGACAGCCTTCTCTCCACGTAGGACCTGAAAAAAATGAGAAAAAAAAGGCTAAAGTATAATTTTTACTAATAAGTGAGCCATGTTGGAGCACACACCTTTAGGTCTGATGACTGGTGGGCTTGTTAAGTGTAAACCTCAGAATGAGGCTGACTCGCCCACCCAGCCGTGGGCAGTATTGGACTGCAGTCTGTTCAGGTTAGATTCTTATCATGGAGGAATACAGAACTCACACTTTTGCCATCAGGCTGACTCCCAGGAGGAAGAAGAGCAGAGTCAAACTCAGCATATCCATTTATCCTTTCTGACTTTACTGATCAAGTGAATTCGCCCACCTCCAGGGGAGCGGCATGAGGGAAGGGTTGGACAGTGGTCAGGAGTCTTCCTGGGAAAGTCCTTCCTCTTAGGAACCCGGAGTGGAAATCGAAAGTGGGGAAAAGACATTTTCTCATGGGTAGCCAATTGAATGTTACTTATTGATTTGTGTCATGTTCAGTTGAAGTTAGAGATTTGAATACAGGTCCGTTAAGTATCATCAGTCTGTAATTTAGAGCCATATTTTCAGTTATCTAAATTCCAAGATGTTTCCGTTTTGGCAAAGAAAGGATGCTTTTCTAATAACCAGTACTTATTAAAGAACATGTTAAGAGATCAGAATCCAGCCAGTTAATGTCAAGAATGTAGCAGCTGGAATTCAGAAATGCACCTTTTGGTATTTTTACTGCGTCATTTATGATGAGACTTCATCTAGTCGCGAGTAAACTGGAACAAAATTTTAGGACTGCTTAAATGATTTTAACTGCTAACTTTGCAGCCTGTTTGCAAATAGTTCTACAGAATCTATTTAAACCAAAACAAAATAAAAAAAAATGCTCTGTCAAATTTCACAAACTCTCAAACTTTAATATATTACTAGATTTCAAATGTGTATTCTATCTGTTAACATGAGTTATTTTTCATTACATAAAACTTTATAAGGCTTCTTTTGAGTTAATCCATATGATACAGTCTAAAGCCAAATCGACTTGATTTATTTTGCATTATTTGTCTGACAGAATCAGGGTTTTACTTAAATTTTATGGAGACTCAAGCCTCTAGCTTCCATAATGCCAAATTTAGAAACTGTAAGGAACACCACAGTTTGTTTTTGACCCTCTTTGCTAGCATGACTTGTGAAAATGTCTAAATGAAATGCTATCCCAAGGAACTCAAGGTCATTCAAAAGTTGTCACCAGGAGAATGCTCTGTTGGGAACTGATGGTAGAGAGACCGCCTCCCCCGTGGCCTCCCACCTCAGAGCTCACCGTGGGCCTCTGCAGGGTGGAGAGCAGCAGCACGAGAGGAAGCTGCCCTCTCAAGGGCCAGATTCTCACCGCCAGGGCTGCAGTCGCTGGGAGAGGAGTCCGCGGGCGTCTGTGGGTCCGTGGACAGCATTTGTCTGTGTCAGAAGCCCTTCTTTGCCCTTGCAGCTTCATCCTGAAATGAGTTCTCAGAGCGTTCCTCTGGAGTTTTCTTTGGCTAAGTCCCAGCAAGAACCTTCCTTGTCTACGTCTGTGTTGAGACTTCTGTGGACCAGAGTGACCAGCAGTTTTTCCCAGAGAAGGAATCAACCCCAACTCACTTGCAAAGCTGAAATCTCTGTCAGATACCCAGACTTGTGCACCAAATAAGGGCTTCTAAAGTAAACTCAAGTTCGTTTCCAATGGAAAAAAAATCCTAATGTAGCCTGTATGCAGGGGAATTCCAAAGGCCTGTTAAGGGTCAGGCTCACCAGCTCAGCCTTAACTTTCTTAGGAAAGCAGAACAAGGCACACGCTGTACAGTGCTTGGCGCCAAGTGGGGTTATCTCGTGCTGCAGCCGTCCATCCTGAGTGACGTGATTGGCTGGTGCAGGTCCCTGGGAAGATGCCACCTTAAGGTGGGCCTGTGTTGGGCTCATCTGGTGCTGCTGAAAGGCCCTGCCCAGGAGGGGCTGTCACGAAGCAGAACAGTAGGGTTACTGTCAGAAAGAAGGCTCTCTTTGCTGCTTTCCCACCATACCTTTGATATTGTCCACTCCAGAAATTATACCTGTTGGGGCCACAGCTCTTCTGTGTTTTTTCTTCTGACTGAAAGCGTCAGATCCTCAGTCTTCACTATTTCAGTCTGTAGGAAATCCAAATGACTACAGTCAGAAGACTGTAGTGTCTGAATAGCTGACGGCACCTAAAAGTAGGTGACATCAACCAGTATTTTTAACAGGTTCCATCACGCCGAGTTCATTCAGCGCAGGTGTCCTATGCAGCACTCTCTTGGACACTTTGTAGCCTGAACATCCTTCCCCTATTCCCAATCTGTGGGAGAGTTGTTTTTCTTGCAAATCTTTCCCATGTACACTTTCTGATTCATTCTTTAGCTGTGAAGGGAAACTAAATCTTGTTCCCGGAAATTCTGGTATTTTTTTCACCATCCTAATTTTTTTAATCTGAAATTTCTGATGATCACAGCAGTTATGTCTCATTACAAAAGTTCAGAATATCTAGGAAAACATAAAGACAGAATGAAATTGCAGAATGAAGGTACTATTTAGATTTAGATTTTGGTTTTACACACACACACACAGATGAGCACACATACACTGAAATTATGTTCGTGATTTTGCATGCTGTGTTTTCCCTTAGTGTTTTAACGTACGCACATCCCCATATAATTTAATATTCATTAAAAACATGATTTTTTTATGACTGTACAATATCCTACCATTGCTGCTACCATACAGTGACATATGGGATGGATCCATGGACTGCACTGTGTCAAAAGCAGATTGGTTAGTGAGTAGAATCTGAAGTCTTGAGAAAGACACCTGGGTTCAGTTCCTGGCCCAACTACTTAATGTCTGAGCTTGTGCAAGGTACTTCTCTGCTACTCAGTTTCCTCGTAGGCTAAGAGGAGTTGATAATAGTACCTACCTTACTGAATGCTTTGATACATTTAAAACCCTTAAAACAGCACCTGGTGCTGATAAATTGTTTAATAAAGAGAAGCAATGATTATTATTTGTACCAAATATTTATTGAATAAATATTTTATATTTAGCCTGTTTTCAACTTTGTACTATTATAAACAATGGTTTGTGATCATGTTTTGGACATAAATGTTTGTGCGGTTTTCTTCTTGCAATTTTTAAAGCCCCAGTTTTAGAGGTGTGATCACTAATCAATGAAATGTATATGTTTTTGGACTTAACTGAAAACATGAGTAGTGCATGAAAATATCTCTTTAAGACCTTAATAATTCTAAAATTCCTCATTATCAACTGTTAATTTGGGATATTGAGGTTTCACAAAGAGAAATAAAAAGAGTCTGAAAACTTGGATTATGGGTCTAGTTCTGCAGCTTGCTAGCTGAATTAACTAAAAACCCTACAAGCTGTCTAAGCCTGTTTCCGTCACCGTGTAGATGTCAAAAATAAATAAAGTGATAGTAATTACCTTTTTTGGAGAGTGTACTCTGCTTTAAGACCTTTTATCATGATCTCAACCCATAATACAACCAGGAGATGTTTTTAACCTCCACTTTATGGGTGCGTTTGCTTAAACACTGTGAGGGCAGATAACTTGCCAGTGATGACAGGCACTTTCCTCTTATCTCCACAGCCCACTGTCTCCATAACCTCTAAAGGACTAAAAGTGTCATTTTATTATTACTGTCTACAAAAGTTTCTGCTGGTTTTCCTAACGTGACTGTCACTTCCAAAATGAGACCACTAGGGGGCAGCAGGAACCATTGTAACCTTTTTATACAACGAATCTGTAGGAGGAGAGAAGAAAAAAGGAGAAAGAGGGAGGGAAAAACAGAGAGAGAGAGAAACAGAGGGAAGAGACTGAGACAGAGGAAGGGAGGAGGGAAGGAGGAGAGAGAACACCAGGAATAATAACTGGGGTGGGGAAAGGTCACAGGTCTGGTGTGTGAGTGTGTGTACATTTTTGAGTAAAATTTAAAAAAGTTTTCTGACTGTTTAGAAAAAAAATCACCTTTTGTCTTGAGAGCTGTTTTATTAAAATTCCCATGAGATGATGTAAAATTAGTTAGAGCTTGAGGTTCACTCAGTTACCATTTTCTTGATGATACTCAGTTCTCCACAATGCAGTCTGTTTGTGCTGCCTGGAGGGGTAAGAGGGATGTGGGTTTTGCAGTTGTGCAGAACTGTGTTAGTATTTTGCCTCTGTGACTTCCCAGCTTTTGTGAATTTGAGTCAGTATTGTTCGCTCTTAGTCTCAGCTTCAGACTAAGAGCGTATGTGTAAAAGCAGACATGACAGCACCACTCTTGCAGGGCCGTGTTGGCAATGAAATTGAGACACCTTGCAAAATACCGTGGAGTGGACTCAGGAACGCTAGTATCTCTGGAGCAGACTGATTAAGGGGTAAACATGGGCTCTTGAGAAAGACACCTCAGCTCTATCCTGTCTTGTGTCACGTCCTTCACGTTTGACCTGGGCCAGTATTTACCTCTCTGCTCCCCACTTACCTCTGCTTCCTGATTCCACTGGCACTTAGCAGGTGCTCAGAGCCTGTTGGCGCCTCCTGATATTTGAAGACCCACAACTCATAGGGTGTTTAACAAGGTGAAAGTTAATTTCTATGAAAAGTTTTAATAAATAGCTCTTTAAGAAAACGTTTTCCTAATTTTCTGGAATACATTCTGAACGTTCTAGACTCATTTTCTAAAGCTTCTTTCAGAGCGTGGATTGAAGTAGTCGCTAGAGGGCCTTCTTGGCTGGGGGTTGGCGGTGGTGAAGGCAGGGAAAGGGGGGGAGTATTTTTTGCCATCAGCCTCAGAGTTTGGAAGTGGCTCTTGGTATTTCCTGTTTGGATCTTGTTAAACTCCTTTGGACCTGTGTTCCTTCAATGGCGTACAGCCAGAAGTCTTTGTTATCCAAAGGAAAGTAGTTTGATAGGAACCCCAAAATTAGATAGTCAGGGTAGTTTTAACATTTTAACTTGTCTGTTCTCTTTTACCTTCCGACCCTTACGGAAGTGAATCCAACTCCTTCATTTTTAAATAACTTTTTATTCAGATACAATTTTAAACGTACAGAAACATAGCAAGTTTCTGAACAAGGAATGGATGTGTGTCCGAGGAACTCCTGGATGCCCTGTCCGTATTCATCGATTGCTTATGTTTTGTCCCACTTGCTCTCTCTCTTTTTTCTAAACCACTTGAGAGTAAGTTGCAGACATCATACCCCTCGTCAATAGATAAGCTGAGGCATATTAACAAAATTTCAAGGGTTCAAGCAAAAATCAGTTCAAATTGGGCAGTGCCAAACCAGAACGCTTCACTGACAGGAGCTGGGGAGAGACGTACTTAGAGAAAAGGTAAAAGCGAAGCAGGGAAATTGTTCGATTGGCTGTAGCTGAAGCTTTGCCTTATTTGGAAAAGACTCGTTGGCTGTTTGTGGTAGCTTGTCCTGGGTTTGATTTCTTAACCCTGAGGCCCGTCCAGACTCAGGTTTTAGTTTGCCTGTATAGGCTGCTATGCAAGGTGTTAGCACCACCTCAGTCTCATGCCTCCTTGTTTAATTAATTTAATCCCTGCAGGGGCAGAAAATGTTTCCCTCCTTCCCTTCTAGGTTCTTTGGCTGGTCTGAAAATTATGTTGATGTAAGACAAATTAACAGGACAAAAACAAATTTAGTTTCATAAGTATGTGATTCCCGTAAAAATGTGTGAAACCCAAAGGCAGTCAGATAACTGGGGCTTTTATGCCATCCTGGCTAAGGAGTGAGGTATGGCCCTGGGGCTTGAAAGGGGAGGAGAGCAGATGTCTGGTAATTAGATGTTTGCCCTGCCATGTAGATAAGTCCTTCAGATAAAAAGTTATCTCTGGAAATAGCTCTCTTTCTGGCAGGCCCCCATTTAAATTCTTTTAAACAGTTAACCGAGAGGTAAAAGATTTTCTCCAGTTGGCTGGATCTAGATTACCTTCAGCTCAAAATAATCCACACGCCAAAGTGGTACTTTTAGGGGCGACCTATTCTGCTCCCCTTCACATTCTTTACCATTAAATACGTCAGAATTTATTCCCTAGAAACAAAGACATTCTCTTACACAACCACAGTACAATGACCATATCAAGAAATTTAACGTGTGTTCAATACTATTATCTAATCCATAGTCCATATGCAAGTTTCATCAACTATTCCTGTAATCTCCTTTATAGCTATCTTCCAGGATCACAATTTGCATTTAATTGTCAAGTCTTTCTGGTGTCTTTAAACTGGAATGTTGCCTCTGTATTTATTTTGCTTTTTGACCTTGACATTTTTGAAAATTATAGGTCAGTTATTTTGTAGAATGTCTCTCCATCGAAGCTTCTCTGTTATTTCCAGATGATTAGATTCAGGTTATGCAGTTTTGGCAGGGAAATCACAGAAATGATGTCCTGCTCTCAGGAGACCCCTGCATCCATTGTTTCAATATATTTTATAACAATAGTTGTTAGATCAATTGATTCATTATAAAGCATGTTCTCTAAACTTTCTCACTTCTATTTTCTTTTTTTTTCTGTAAAACATAGGATCTGAGTGTTAGTAAAGAACTCTGACTTCATCCTCTTCCACCAGATGTGAATCTCCTTCTCAGCATTCTTGACAGAGTGACTTCTGCTCTGTGCCTTCCTGTGATACTGTGATTTATGATAAATATATATTTGGACTTGTCCATGGTTCGTGGCACGCAGTGCCTAAAACCTTTGCAATTTCCCAAGCAATAGAGCTATAGAGCATCTTTTGTTTCCAGTTCCTGAAATAGCTCCAGGGCCATAAAGGTGAAAAATGCTCACCTGTACCAGTGTATTCTAGAGGATGCAGACAAGCAGCCAGATGAAGAGGTGCACAGAGCAAAGTCCATAGGGATCCTGAGTGCAGAAGTGTCTGTCCCCATGGAACTGGGGTGCACCACCGTCCCAGCATGTGGATGTGTGCCCAACCTGGAGGCTCTCCAAACTCCATCCTGGTGGGTTTTTATGGAGGCTTCTTCAGAGAGGCATGGTTAATTGAATCATTTGCCACTGGTGATTGATTCAACCTTCAGCCCCTTTCCCTTCCCTGGAGGTGACAGAAAAAGTCTCCACCCTCTAATCATGGTTGGTT